AGATGTTTGGTGGCGGTGGGGGGACCAGACCTGGTTGCTGCTGCTGCTGGACACGCGCCTTGTTCGCCATGATGGCCACGTTTGCGGTCATCTGCATGATCATTTCGCCCATTTCCGGCTGCATGCAGCTGTTGATGCACGTGTGCAAACAGTTGATCATCGTGGTCACCGTCTCCGGCAAGAGTTGAGTCTGCTTGGGAGGCAGCTGGTCCTCGGGCATTTTGGCATTCACCACCTGGGGGCAGCGACGTAGCAGCACCTTGATCATGGCCTGCATGAAGGGCTCGCCGTGGTCGCGAATTTTGTCGGTTAGCCACTTCTCCAGCTTCAGGTACTCACGCCGGGAGGCAAGGCAGGCCAGGTCGATAATGAATAGGAAGGAGCGGGCGTTGAGCAGAGAGGACAGCGCCTTCAAGTCCTGGGCAAGGTCTAAGATCCGGGACAGCTTCACCTGATCGAATTCATTGCCGCGCAGATACCATTCGGACATGGCGTTCATGATATTGGGTCGCAGCTGGAAGTTCGTCGAGCTCCAGGCGCTGGCCAGGATCACGTTAGAGTTGGGATGGTTGCCAAGGAACGTAGGTATCAGTTGGTTAAACAAATCCTGGCGGAGCGGCGTCAGGGGTGGACTGATATGCAGCAGGGCCAAGAACAACACGTCGGGACAATTCTGAGCGGGGAACTTCAAGAGCTCGTGCACCTGCGTATAGTATCCCTTGTCCGCAATGGAGAGAAGCACCTCCACCAGATGCAGTGACTTCCACGCCGAGATCTCCTTGTTGTCGGCATCTGGAGCCGTTTTCAGCACGTCCAACGCTGGCTGACTGAACACAAAGTCGGCGAAGGAGAAGAGATCCGGGTTCTTCAGCATAGTCGCAATCAGCGACAGCTGACCTTCCGTGTTGGCCCAGTGGCGATAAATGCATTCTGGATGTGGGAATAAGCTGGAGCCCGTGGCTAATCGCAGGATGGTTAAAAGCAAATCCAAACCGATACGATCCTTTATCACGAACTCGGGGTGATCAAGTTCTAAAATAAGAAATTTAAATAAGAGTCAGATTCAGTCGCTTATTGGGCAAATGTTTCTGGGAGTGAATTACCCATGCACACGTCCTTCCAGTTGAGCTGGGGCACCACCTCCTTGAGGGCCTGCACAAAGACATCTGGCTTCCATGTCTGTGTGGCCTCCGTCGTCTCCTTCTTGTCCTTCTTATCACTGGACGCACTTCCCTCACTGCCATCGTTGTTGTTGCTACTGCTGCTGGAGCTCTGCTGCTGCGAAGTACTTTGTGCCTGCGACGAGCCGCCGCTGCTGCTACTACCTGAACCCTGACCTTGTGCTTGTCCCTGTCCAGGCCAGAAGTTCGCTGGCGTCGGTAGGTTTACATTACAATCGAGGAGCGACGAGTGCCGGCGGCACATGAGTCCCACGATCTTGGCGACATCTTTGGACTGAAGCTCGGCGCGCTCGCGTTCGCGGGAACACAAATGATTCTTGCACTCTTCAACGCTCGATGTAAATTCATAACCGATTTCAAGGACTAGATTAATCCAGGATGTGTCCATAATATTATTTTTGCCCTGTAAACAATAGATTGTATTAGGGATCAGATTTCTAGGCTTGCTATACAATTCTTATGCGCACCTGGTTGGTGAATATTATCTCGCTTAAATGGTCATAGATATCTTCAATTCCCACCTCGTTCAGAGCATCTGCCTCGTAACTGGAGCTATTGCTGTTGCTGCTGACCGTTGCTTCGGCCTCTGCATCCGTTTCGGTGGCACTTGATCCCGTAGTCGTCGCTGACGCCGTGGTCGAGCCGGAGCCGTAAAGGAACGGCGCTAGAACCAATGGCACCGCTGACGCGGAAACTCCTCGCGAAGTTTTACCAAAAACTCCGCCTCCAACTGCGGTTTCACGTAATCCTTGAGGCAGCACAGCAAATATTGTAGCAGGTCAAAGGAAATCTCCTGCAACCACTGCTGGCCGGGTTGCTGTTGCCTTTTCCCAAATACGAATCGATCAGCTCAACAAGGGACACCTGTAGGTTGTTCCTCGCTGACTGCCTAAGCTCGGGATGGGAGGAATGGGTCACAGCCAACGCAAAGATGCACTCGCAGAGCTTGTTAATGCCGGTCAGTCGGGACACGTGGCTAACAAGATCGACTACCGCGGCAGGCTTAAGAGACTGGCCAAGGATAAATAATCGTGTTACAAAAAAAAGCGTACAAGAAATGGTTGGGGTAAGGACGAGGTTGAGGTAGATACTCACCTTCTGGTTACTCGCAAAGTACTGGTCAAATGCAAAGCAGATGTTGGAGACAAACGAGGATTCTGCAACTGACGCTGCAACTGGGTGCCCAGGAGCTTCGCCTGCAGCTGACGGTGACCGACGGCGCGGGATCGCCGAGGTTGATCACGGAGAACAGGTGGCGCAGGCTGCTGCGATCCGCTTCCAGGCCGTGCTCTTTGGCGAACTGTAAAAAAGCGAAGAATGAAGAAGTGACATTATGCATTGCTGTACTGGCTTTGGCGACCAGTAGGCGCGCCCTGGCCGCGACTGCTCGTGAAGTTGTACACATATCAGTGGCGGCGCGGGACGCGAATGATGATGCTTAGATATCGGTAATCGATTGATTTTTATAGGTTTTTCATTGCAAACTTGGAAATTTAGAAAGATTATGTGTGTGTGTTAGCACTGACAGCCCGGCCACCGCCTGCCCCACTTTGAAGTTTGTTTCCCCTTTATTTGCGTGCTCCGGATTCGAATTCGGATTCAGATCCGGAGTTCGAGTTCGGAGTCCGGACTCAAGGCTCTCTCTCACACCGAGCTAGAGGTGTATACGCAGAAGCGAGACAACAGCTGTGACCCCGCCGTCGTCGTCGCAGCTGCTCCACAACAAATTACACACAAAAGTGCTCGCTCCCTCTCCCTCACACTTGCTGGCGAAACGTTTTACATGGGAGAGGAGAGCCCGAGCAGAGCCGAGATGACGGTGCGAGAAAGGAAGGGGGTCAAACCAAAGGAGTGCGACGGAGGGCTTATTGCCAATCCAGCAAAAGAAAGCGGCCGAAATTTTTATTCCCACTATCTGCGCACTATGAACTTACAAAATTAGGTTCGACTAGGCAGTTGGCTTTGCATATGATAGGAGCTAGCTAGCTTTGTAGGGTCGAAACCCAATCGCTTGGCTTGGCCTGGCCACTTCTCGCTGCCTCGATTTTTGCAGCTCGTTTTCACACAATTTCACTGCGAATGAAACACTGCGACATTCGCCAGATTCAAGTGCGTGGCTTTTCGCACCCAATTAGTCTAATTCTATACATTTTAAATAACTTTTAGCTTATACAAAACGGGAACAACTCGCGCAATGCCGTGCAGAGAAATTTTTTCTGCTGCCTCCACAAAAAACTGTAATGGCGTCGGCAAAAATGCACGAGCGAGTGAAATGGCAATAGTGCTCGCCAGACGGTCGTGAGTGCGGACAATTGGCAACACTGGCAGGGCCGCCAGGTGCGATATAAAAGCGCACAGTTTGGCAACACCATTCAATCCCCGCAGTCACCCTATGGACTATTGTTGTTATTGTTTACAGAGTCAAAAACATATGCTGGCGGACAATTAACCAAACTCACCTGCTTTATTTGCTCGCTGGTTTCATTAAAATTTCGCTTATTCACGTGCTTGACCAGATTGCGTATGTGCGTTAGCGGTGTCTTCAGTTGGCTCTCTACATTCATAATTCTACGTATCAGTTGTCAATGCTCGAACGGATGTTTGTTGTTCTTGTTTTTGTTGTTGTTTCGTTTCGGTTTCGATTTGTTGTTCTTGGGGGCTGGGGCGACCAGAATTTTCGAGCACACGGACACGGCACGGTGAGACGACGATCCGAGCCGTGTAGTGGTATTGAAGAGATATTTGACGTATTTGTTGCTTCTTCTTCGCGCTTTTCTTTTCAACTGCGGCGTAATTTGGCCAACCGCCTGTCGTCTTCCCTTTTGTTTTTGTAGTTTTTTTTTTGTTTTTCTTTTTTTATCTGTCTAATTCACTCTTATTGCATCGCAATCGCCGCGGCCCCCGTGGAAGAGGGGCCATCAGCAGCTCTACATCGCTGGCAGCATCTAATTGCACAAATTAAATAAACAATAAGATCAAATTTAACGTCGGCCTTCTCCGGCGGACGAGGGCAAAATTTTGTCCTCGGCCGAATATTGCATTGGCTCACGTAATGAAAAATAATATATGAATCGCACGTACAGTGAAAACAGAAATGAAAAAATACTACTACTACCACACACACGCACGCACACACATGTACAGAGAAGTAAATTTCTTTGGGCTCTTCCTTCCTTTCTTCTCGTCGCACTCCTCTTTTCACTGGATAGATAGTATTATTTGCAATTTGATAAGGCGAGTTTGTCGCTAAAAGAAACACTGGAGATTTTATTGCACTCGTAGATTTTGTTAATTTTTGCCGAAAATATTTTTAACACCCAGTTTGGGGCAGATGTTCGAAACTAGAGCTGGAACTACATCGATATTCTTATCGATACCATCGATTATTAAAGAGAAGTGGTCACACTGTAACCAATGGCGTTGCCACATCGATAGCATCAGTTTAAATATAGATGAATGTGAGTTTAATTTGCACCAAAAATCCCGCATAAGAAATGTTAATTTTGATTAAAAAGGGTAATTTTTTTCAAACAACACACCAATTTTTCAATTTTTTAAAACACAAATATATTGAATTTAATTGGTATAGAGTGATATCGTGTAATCAGAAGAGTCAGTTAAAAATCCGTTATTTTTAATTTCCCACATACATAATATTTTCCAAATATTAACGATAATAACGTTTAAATAAAATTCGGAAAATATCATCATCTGGGTCTATTATTGCCCATTTTCAAACCCCCATCAAATTCGCGCACACTGGTATTTTTGTGGGGCCTGTGTTCCGGTCACACCACCGCAACCACTTCGACATCCAGCCCATTCCGCCCCCACTTGCTTGGTGTACATAACAAACAGGCTTAATTGGCAATTGGCTAGCGAGTTAAATGTGCGCGGCAGGCAATCCCATTGTGAGTGCGCTCCTCAGGCAGAATGTGCTCCTGCGAAGCGTGGTCGCCATCCGGAGCTGGAATGCCGCCCCACTGTCCAAATCGAACTCGAGCGCCCAGTGGCAGTCCCGCTCTTTTTCGTCGGCCGTTACTGGGGCTTCTGCTTCCATTTCCGCTTCCGCTGCATCTGCCACTGCTCCCGCTCAGATCTCGCACCCGAAAACAGTGAGTGATTTCCAAGAGCTCTACGAAGCCACCAAAAAGAAGTTCCAATGTAAGCCTCAACCACTCGCAGCAGGCGTATGCATATGCGTAGATGTGCACGATCTATAAATACCCGTCTGTGTCCCATTCGCATATGTGTATAACACCCGCATTCCCATCCGATGACCTTTTCAGCCAAGAAGCTGCCCGTGGACGTACACCCCGACGCGGTGTTTGCCTGCAACGAGCTGGATCTGAGTGAGGTGCAGGTGTATGGCTTCGATTACGACTACACGCTGGCTTGCTACAAGCCGATCCTGGAGGACCTACTGTACAACCTGGCACGGGAGATGCTCGTGAAGCGGTTCCGCTACCCAGACGACATCCTCGAGTTGGAGTATGAGCCGAACTTTGCAGTGCGCGGTTTGCACTACGATGTGGAGAAGGGTCTGCTCGTTAAACTGGACAGCTTCCTGCAGCTCCAGCTGGGCTCCGTCTACCGAGGTCGCACCAAAGTCGAGGCGGATGAGGTGCTGAAGCTGTACCACAACCGTTTGCTACCCATTGCCTATGTGGAGGGGCCAAACAATAGCTATAGGGTTCGTATCTTATCATGAATTTAATAAAAAATCAATGATTTACGATCTCCATTTGCACCTCTCCTCGCAGCACAACACCAACTCCAAAATGGTACAGCTGGCCGATCTGTTTTCCGTACCTGAAATGTGCCTCCTGTGCAATGTGATTGAGTATTTCGAGCGGAATCGCATCGACTATAATCCCGAGATTGTTTTCCATGACGTCAGGACAGCCATGGGCTCCTGTCATCCCATAATGCACGGAAAGGTGATGCTGAACACCGAGAAGTACATCGAGCGTAATCCCAAGCTGGTCAAGTTTTTTGAGAAGCTGCAGCAGGCGGGCAAGAATCTCTTTCTGGTCACCAATAGCCCATACTCCTTTGTGTAAGCCCAAGGAGCTATACATCCTATATAGTTCGAACCTAATAATATTATGTTGTAGGAACTGTGGAATGTCCTGGCTGGTGGGCGCTAACTGGCGTGATTTCTTCGATGTGGTCATTGTGCAGGCACGAAAGCCCAAGTTCTTCACTGACGAATCTCGGCCTATAAGGCTCTTTGATGAACGAACCCAGTCCCATCTTTGGGATCGCGTTTTCAAGCTTGAAAAGGGTAAAATTTACTACGAGGTAAGTGATTTTAGTTGAGAAATCTTTCAATTGTAATGTGTTACTTATCAATTTGGCCAGGGTTCAGTGAGACAGCTGCAGGAGCTCAAGGGCTGGCGGGGTCATTCTGTTCTCTATTTCGGGGATCATCCTTACAGTGATTTGGCCGATGTGACCCTGAAGCACAGCTGGCGGACGGGCGCCATCATCAGTGAGCTAGCGGTTGGTATTACAAGGTCCTAAGTATGTCACAGATCTCCAATATGTATTCCTTGGTTCTCCAGCACGAAATCAAGACCCTGAACCTGTGGACTTCAAGATGAGCGCCAACTGGCTGCAAATGTTAACGCAACTTATTGAGGAGACACAGGACGACGAGAGTGAGCGGCCCAAAAGTGCCTCAGGGATTGGATGGATGAGCGGGATCAGTTGCGGTAGGAAACTCTATTTGTGCTATTGTTTTCACTTCACTTATCAGGCACTTAACCTTTTGGCAGCAACAAAACCAAGAACGTATTCAACGAGCAGTTTGGCAGCGTTTTCCGCACCTATCACAATCCTACGTACTTCTCGAGACGCCTCTTCCGCTTTGCCGACATCTACACTAGTGACATCACGAACTTGCTCAAGTTCTCCACCACCCACACCTTCTATCCCCGCCGGGGCGTGATGCCTCACGAATATGCCTCCCACTTCATCTAAACAAAGGGATGGATAGCTCAGCTCAGATATTAGTTGTAGGTTAAAAGTGCCAGTGTTAATTGATTGTAGCTCGAAACTAGTGAATTTATAGCGTGTATATCATCGTTATTTAAATTGTTGCTCAATAAAATCGTTGTAATAGTTCAGGAACACCTCGCGATATTCGCTGGTCAGATGCTCCAGCTTACCTTTCAGCACCTTCAATTCCATTTCGTTGCTTTCGCATCTCTTTGATGCGATTAGATCCCAAAGATAGGTCATCTGTGTGAGATACTCCATGGAGTTAGCTCCACACTGGGCCGCAGTTCCCTTCAACTGATTCCGGATAACCTTTGCCAGCTTCTCGTATTCCCAATCCTCCAGATTACTGCCTACTGTAGGAAAATATAATCTGAGAGTAATGTTAAAGTTGATTGGATAATCATCCTACCATCTATGTCCAAAAAGCAGGCTATGATTAGCTCTGCGGCCAGAGTTCTTTTGAGACTGTGATGCTCCATTAGCCATTTGTCCAGATCATCATATGCCTTGAAGAGCAGCTGTCTTTTTGAATAGTCAACACAGCTCTCGACGAGATCTAAGAATTCGTTATACCAGGGGAAAAGCTGACGCTCCTTGCAGACTGTGCAAATAATGGAATTTTCTGTATGCGATTGCAGCCACCAGTTGATATTATTATTTGGAAGTTGACCGACTTCGGGCGTAAAAACCTGTCGGCAGTTTGGCTTCTCGCAGCGATACCGATGAAAGTGAGCTTTAAAATAGGTTTAAAATTTAAATTTCAAAGAATTCCTTAGAAAGGTTTATTGCTTACGTAATCCTGATCGGGATCGGGGCGTGTGCACTTGTTGCAGCTGCAGTGGAACTTGTAGACTTCCTCCAATGGCTGCGAGCGCTGCTGCTTTAAGCTGTTCCTATAGTCCCGAGTGTAGCAGTTGAAGATCTCATCGCCAGCCGCAATGTCGCTTATAGAATAATTAACGACAGAGCATCCGTCAAACTTGGTGTGAATGGAGGGTGCACAGGCATGGTTGCACAAGCTCAAATATGGCAGATTGATGGCCGTAATTAGCTCCGAATGAGCCAGATTGTGCAGCAGTCCGAGCTTCAGATGAAGCGGCTTCTCCCACATATCGGACTGCAGCAGGGCAAATTCATTGGCTTTGAGGCCAACTGGCAGCAGGGAACTGCTCACATGGCCATTGGTTAATAATTGTCCTGCGGATCGAAGAATCAATGCTGATATAACCGTTTGCCAGTCTTCAACGCGAGCTGATGAGGTGTTGAACTGGTTGAAGAAGTCTGTGTGCTCCTTAAGATACGTCTGAAGAAGGTTGGCGCAGAGAATATGGTAGACCAACTCCGCCTGCGAGGCCTGCTTCAGGTGGCTGGTCATACGCAGACTTTGCACATACTCAGGTGCAGCCTCCTTTGAATCCCACGGCTTTGTTGACAAATCGATGATTTTACTCCAAATCGATTCGGAGCTGGTACAGTTCACGAGATTTGGCAGCATCAGAGGCATATAGGCCAAGACCATACGCAGTGCCAGGTGAGAAACGCCAAGAAGCTTAAGCAAATCCCGACGGTAAGCGGCGCACTCGTATCGGTGGATGGCCGAGTGCTTCTCCCTGCATTTCCTGGAGCAGTACACCACTCGCTGGTGACACTGCGAGCAGGGAATAGGTGCACTCATCAAGCTGGCGGCACACTGCTGGCAAATCAGTCGCTGCTCTAAGGGAACAAAGCATGAAGCTTGTTCAGAGAAGATCACCGTGCCCTGTGGTATAGCTTTTTGGCCACCATATAGCGACCACGCTCTCCAGGATCTGTAAGGCTGCCATATAACGGATAGAGTGTTACTAAAATTTGTGTATGTGGATGCATAGGTGAACTTACATTTCCTCCAGAGCTGTGCCACCCTCTCCTTTAATAGTTACTGGCAGCTTTATGTGGCTGCTCTTCAGTAGCTTCAGCTTCTCTTTTAGATGCTTTACCTGACGCACATAGCCTTCATTCAGCTGCAGCTTCTCCAGACACGCCAAGTGCTCCTCGAACGCTTCAATATTTTCCATTTTCCAAGCACAATAAGCTTGGCGCATGATTACCTTGTGCTGCAGCTTCTCTGGATACCCACAATCCAGCGCATTAGAGCAATCGTCGTAGGCCTCACGGTAATAACCGTACTCCTGCAAAGCCATGCCTCGGTTGGCAAAGGCCAGTGCCAGTTCATCTAAAGCGTCCTCTGCCTCAAAGACTGCGCTCGTGTAGAATCGGCAGGCTTTCAGTATTTGTTCCGATTCCTTGGTATCATCCCTGAAAACAAAGTTTCCCTCCTCGCGAAGGGTCCGTGATCTCTTCGCGCATGATTCCCTATCATGCGGCAGCTCCAAGTCCGTCAGCAGTTTCAGTGTCAACTGTTTAAGCATCAGGCGCTTTTCCGGCGGCAAAGTGTTCAGGGACTTGAAGGCTTCGTACTCATCCTTAAGCCCACCGTCAAGGGCTATCAGTTCGTCCTGCTGCGAGAAGATCCTCGCCAAGCGATCCATGTCTTCAGCCGGCTTTCCGAATTGTTTACAAAATCAAAATGCGTTTGGTATTTTTTAGGGACTTTCAACAGAAGCGGCAATCGATAAGCGAAAGTCGATAAGCAATAACAATTCAAAAAGTTTCTTGATGCGTATGCAGAAGGCTTGATAATAACAAGACAGACGTAGTTATTTTTAAACATTTGTATTAGAAAAACATAAAATAAGAATCATACAATAATAATTATATTTTTATTCAACATAAACATACTGAAGTTCCTTACAGCAAAGTTTCCTCAACTTTTATTATATGTGGGATTTGGTTTCTGAAAAGATAAAAAATTAAAGTAATCCTTTAGCTATTTGAAAAGATTTATTTTTAAATAAATTCAACACATTCGCGCTTTAAAATCCCTCATTTTCTCTAATATACCCGGGCTGATGAATTTTTCGAAGTATATGGGCTGAGGCTCCGCCACATCCCACATGCCGATTTCGCTGCACGTAGCCCACTCTCTTGACGCATTTTCAAACTGTAAGCAAAATGGTCCAAACTCGGGAGCGATGTCCATGAATGTGAATAAAACCCGTTTCCGGAGATCCTCGTTGCGATCTTTCTGCACTTTCCGCCAGCGACAGCTAAAAACGAATTCGGGCAAGTCGTGCAGCACTCGTTCCAAATCAGAACGCAGCAGAGGTGAAAGGTGGGGAAAGAGTATACTTAGCAGGGGACCCCGCACTTGGGATACCTTCCCATCTATCTTGAGTATGGCGCTCTGATAAGTCGCCCCTTCAAGGTACCCCTCGATTCTGTGCTGGATTATATGCTGGACGGTCAACGGGGCAAAGAAATGAAAGCGCTCCAGCTTCCGGAATATAACTCTCTGCCGGAGGGCAGGCTTGGGAACTGTAACAGCTAAATTCTCACTAACTTTTTCTTTTTCGATTACCTTGCGAAGAGTAACGCCAGGTGGAACGGCATCTATAAGGGCCGACAGCTGCGAAGACTCCAATAAGGAGTTGCCCTGTGCAAAATCCTGCGATGGGGTAATGGTGTTCAATATTACCTCTTGCTGCGGTATCGAGCTTATATGAGGAGGTTCCGTGGGAAATTCATCTGTCCCTAGCATTTCGGTTTCAATACGGACGCATGAACCCAGGGGCAATGGCCGAAACTCGTGCCTAAGCTGCGGCACCTTGTCGTTTACTAATCGGGTTCGCTTGCTGGGGGGCAAAGCATTGGTTGCCGGAAGCTTCTTTTTCCGGGATTCTGCGGGTTTCAGAAAAGGTTGAACCTGTGACTGGATCACATTGGCCTCGGGAACTGTTGGGCTGGGTGAGGTGGGCCGTACAGCTGACTCATTAGGCTGCTCCTCTAGAACAGGATTCTCTGCCAATTTATCGTTTTGATCGCTCTCCTCAGGCTGAGATTTCTCTAAGACGATGGAATCATCGCTCTCTAATATCACCGTGAGTAACGACTCTAACGACTGATATGGCGATATTTTGTCAGAAGGCTTGGCGACGGCAAAACAGGACAAGCTGGGACCCTCCTCTTGGCTGGAATCTAGGTTCACAATTTGCTCTTCCGACCCAATGGACTCCCATTGGCAGCCATCTGCGTTGCAAATGCCGCGCAGGTTGTTGAGGAATTGAATGGGTTCCTGCTTGACAGAAGATACTGTCTCCGATTGAGTACTCAACGGATCGAGTGGAGATTCGGGTACTTGGGAGTGTATGTCCGCGGTAGCAATATCCACAAAGTTCGCGGAGTTGCCAAGCTGAGTAGGACAGCTCTGACTGTCTGTGAAGGTAAAGAAAAATAGATTGGTCTCAGGAATAGAATAAATCAAAGTTAACTTCACCTGGACCCAATTCTGAAATTATCTCATTCTGACTACTTCCATCTCCGGTTTCACTTTCTGTTAAGGTGAAGAAAGGTAATATTAGTCTAGGTAAATGGAGAAACCTAAATTAAACTCACCTGGAACCACATCTGAACTTGAGGCTATGGAGATAATCTCTGTCTGGCTACTTTCACCACCGCCTTCCGCAATAGGGAGTGATTCTGTCAAAGGGAATACATTAGATACACGCCGAATATTTTAAATTATAGGAAAAACTTACTTAATACAATTCCATTGAGATCGGGCAATGGAAGGTCCTTAATATAACTATCTCATGCAGATCATTATTCATTATTTGAGGCACTTTGTAAATCCACTGGTCGTGGCGCCAGCAGTCTGCATAGAACCGTCCCGCTCTTCGAACAACTGCTGACACTGTCTATTTCTTCGCCAGTACGCTCTTTGTACTGCATTTCAACGATCTGATCAAAATCGGTGTGTTCTTCTGCCTCTCGCCAGTGCAGCATCTTCGGCGATAGCTGTTCAAAGTCTAGCCTGCCTAACTTCACGCCTTTACTATAGAGCAGCTGCCTCAAATGGGGCAACCTAATGTACAGATTTAAGGCCATTGCCCTTGTCTACGACATGCTGGTAATAGGGCTGTAATCCATACCGTTCCTGTACAAGTCCTCGCCATTGTGGATGGTCGTGTAGGCCTTAAATTCCTCCATGGTTAGTTGGTACAATATTCGCCAAAGTGCCCTTTTTAGACCTTGGCTCGTGCAGATCAAGTATGCCATGTTGTGAACCTATTTGATGTTTGATAGGAGTTAATGTATTTTCTTATTAATTTCAAGATGTGTTTCTTACTTGAGAGCTTTCGGCAAAAAATTCTTTCTCTGCTTGGTCCAAAATGATTTGTCTTTCTGATTGCCGATGCGACGCTGCTTCAGAATCGCTCGCTTCTGTTCCATCCGCACTTGATTCAGCTTCTTTATTTTGGTTTTCTTCTGGTTGCATTGCAACTTTTTTATTTGTACCACTGACAGGTCTTGAAAGGTCCGTTGAACTCTCTGCTTTCTTCTTAAAAGAATCTGAAACACTCACGTTTCTATTAGCCTCTGGAGGCTTATTTGTGCCATGGTTCTCATTGCTAGTTGTCTCGGGTTCTGCAATATCTGGAATATCTGATGAACCCTTCAGGTCATTTGAAGCACTTTCCATTGTCTTCGTAGATTCGGGTTGATTTAACGGTTTGCCAACCTTTGCTGACGTTTCTTTGGATTCATCCTTTTCATTATCGGCTGAGGTAGTAGACTGATCTGATACTGATACTAATACTGAACTATTCTCCGATTGCCTATTTTGTGGAGCCCCTTCAATTAATTCGATTACTGAAGTTTCCGCTTCAAGAGGATCTGAATTTTTTTCGGACGTGTTTTTTTTGGAATTATATAAATTAAGAATATGTTGTTCCAGCAGAGCTTGTTTCTCCGGCACAGAAATACGGTCAGCTATATATTGGCGTAAATTCGATGGCCTATAAGAAAGAACATTGATTTTTTGCTTTCTGTAAATAAAAGAAATATTTTAGTTCTCAGATGATGATATTAAATAAAAATAATTTTTACTTACCCTGCTAGTTCCGCTTCCCTGGTGGCATTAATCTCTTCTGGATCCAGATTACGAAACTCAATAGGCTTTGCCCATTCTAGTAACTTGTCGGAGAGTTCTGGTGGAGCAGCGTTGAAATTATATTTTAACTTATTTCTAATATCCTTCATGGTGTAAAATGAGTTATAATAGCGGTGTAATAAGCGCAGGCAACTCGTTTCGTCGCCCAGAATCTCCGCCAGCTGCTCTGGGGTCTTTTTGTTTACGCCTCCACCATTTACTAGATCCACCTTGAGTTCTTCGTAATTAATGTACTTTTGAAATGTTGTAAAGGATACTGGAAACCTGTACGTGATGGAAACCAGAGTTTCATCCATCGGAGCACGTGGTACCGTTCTAGACTCGTCCTCGTTCTGAGGGACTTTGCTATGCACTACATCAGACATTGTTTGCCTCGCTATATCATTCAGGGGCACAGCATATTCTTCCAATTTACTAAGGAGGTCTTCGTCTGCATTTTGAAATCTGTAGGGATAGGTATGGCGAACGTCCTTCTGAACGTAGAATGAGCAAAAGAATTTATGAAACAACCTTGTGCCTCGGTCACTCTGCTCAGTCGCATGTTGGGATTCCTTTAGTAGTAACGATTTGACAATCTCATCGTAGTTGATGTGTTGCTTAAATGTTTTAAAGGACACTGGAAACTCAAAGGAAGCGCCACTGCAATGTTGAATGTTATTTTTTGGTTAAAAAAGAAATCCATTTCCACACTTACTTTATGAAGGTTTTAATGGTCTCTCTTTCGACGAAGTTTCCCTGAAAATCAAATAAAATTATTTGTGTTTTTAGTTCATAATTTTTTTAATAATCTCTACCTTGATTTTTGTCGGGAATTGTTGGATGTTTCGTTTTGGGCAAGGGACCCTTCGATATGGACAGGAATTTCACTTGAAAGCACTTCCACCTCATCACTTTCTGATATAAGAATGCTTTCCTTTAATTTTTCGGTACTACTACATATGGGATCACATAGCTGGGATTGTTGTATTTTGTGGGAAAACTAATTAACTTGTTTCTCATTTGGGCAGGACATGGCTTTAGTTCGTAAGGAAACCTATCCCGCATTTTTTGAGAAGAGTAAAAGCCATTGTAGTAATCTCGGGCACATTCTTCCTCAGATTTCTCCTTGTGTTCATCGCAAAGGAGCATTTTCTGTACTATTTCCTTGAGATTAATTACATTACGTTTAAAAAGTTGAAACGAGACATGGTTTTCGAGGTTTTTCATGACTTCACACTCCTTTGCTGGAATACCTTTTGATTCCTTCGAGGAAGTAGCTTCATGAGGTGCTTGATTATTCTTGCTTTGCTCAATAGAACCCGCATTATAACTTCTTGGCACCTAGTTTTGGGCTCGTTCACTGTTTTTTTAGAACTCTCGTTGAGTGGTCAGTAACCACATCTTCTTGGGCTTGATTATTCTTGCTTTGCTCAGTAGGAACTGGTTGGCAGCGTCTTGGCAACTTGTTTTGGCCTCTTCCATTGTTTTATGGCACTCTCATTGAGTGGTCTGGCATATTCAGTTAATTTTTTCAAGACTGATTATCTTTGCAGGAGAACCGATATTGAAACAGCTGGCGAGAATTGGAGAAAATATAAAAGGAACGATAGTATCGAAGGAAGATCTTTTCGCAGATTGGGTTCTGGGGATGAGCAATCAAGTCCTCTAGCTGCGATCCATTTTGGTTTGCCCCCATGAGTATTGGCCCAATAATCTCGGAATAGTTGATGCACCTTCGGAAAGTATCAAACGAAACGGAAAATAAACCGACCGCATCTGAAAGATACAACCATTAGCTATTGTAAATTAACACTTCCTAGACATTCGGGTCTTACTTGCCAATATTCACTTCTACGTCTGTCTGAAATACTTCTTCTCTGCTGAGAAAACATAGCGGAGTTCATAAATGTGTATTTTGGGGATTACCTAAACTACTTACTCTAAATTCTCAGAAGACTCTTCAAGAACATGCTTTGGTAGTTCTTCAGCGTTCGGTGCGTGTCCCTTAAATGGTTCGCTAAAAATTTAAAATTTACAATTAACTTTTTCATACTAAAATTTATCAAACATGAATTACCCCTCTTTTGGTGGAGCATCCTTCACAGCCTGGTTTAATGGATGGGCCATTGCCAATAGCTTCTCTCTCAGAACGGAAGGGGCATCAGTAAAACTGTATTTGTACCGCTTTCGAATGTTCTATCGGTATAAAATGATTGGTAAAAGCGTTTCAATAACTGATGCGGACTGAGCCTCGAATTCTTATTGTGTTTCACTAATTGTGGCAACACCTCATCCGAGTTGATAAACTGCAGGAAACAGTTAAGCGTGACGGGATATTCGTGGATTACACCCTTTACGGTTACGAACACTTTGTCTTCAGCTTCTAATTCTTTTTCAGGTATTGTTATTCTTTTCGGTTATGTTTTCCAGACGACATGCTGCATCTGAGTCGTCATCTATCTCTATCTCCTCACTTCGAGCTCGAATCTCGGCTGAGGCATTATGAGTTCTTTTTCTAAGCTTCTTAAATTGCTTACCAGTGAATCGCCGTCTACGTCTATGTTTCTACCACCTCAGCGTTTTGGGATTCAGGAATTAGCTCAGACAAGCTTTTCCGCAGCTCTTGGGCAGACTCCTCATTGGGAATGTTTAGTAGGCGTTTCTGCATGCTCATGGTACACGGTCGCCACTTAAACGTGTACTTATCACGGATCTCCGGCTTAAGGTAGAAGTCCAGATACAAAGCATGGGCGCATTTTTCAAAATCCAAGGCCGCGTATGCTTGTCGTGCAACTTTAGTTGCCACACAATGTTATACATATTGGTCAAGTATTTCTCAAACACTTCAAAACTGACGACGGGTTGTCTGCAAAGCATAGAAAGAAACATTTTTAAAATGCACTGGGGGTAAATCAATATTTTTCTCACCTCTTCCCTGCGGCATAATTCTCAACCGATGTTTTGCCAATTCATCACAGGGTTCGCCATGTTTAAGGTACTGTGGCAAAAACTCTGAGGGTATGTTCTCAAAAATGTCGGTAGTAGACTGCCGATCGGGGAACATGTAGAACGAGTTGTAAAATTTTCTTAAGACGACTTCCAATTGCTTCTCATTGGCCAGCATAGACTTCCGTTCCTCTTTCGTCATGTCTATCATCCGGAGCACTTTCTCTACGTTGACAAAGCTCTTGAAGGCAAAAAATGTCACAGGAAAGATGAACGTACCCATCCTGGGGATTAGAAGGTTACTTGCAACGAAAACTCCTTGGAATGGCTGCCAATACTTACCTTGCCACTTTGACCATTACACTTTCAGTGTTTTGAGGCGCCGTCACCGGCTCACCAACTGGCTCTGACTCGGGCATTGAGAGCAACTTATCTTTAATCCTCATGGGGCAGGCCCCAAGTTCGTAAGGATATTTCTTCCGTATTTCGGGGTCCCTATAGAAAGATTCATAGTACCAAAAGGCGCACTCATCCAGAGTTTTAACGCCTTTACCAGCGACTCCGTCGCGTTGCACCTCGAAGCATATATCGGGCAGGTTTCTTATTATCTTCTTGAATTGCTCAAAGGACACAGGATTATTTGCACACCTGAAAGACCTTCATTTATTTTTGCAACTCTGCGAATTTGTTGCCCTTACCGCATATCGTCCATTTTCAGCTTTTTTTTCGGCGGCGTCATATAAAGCCGTAGTGGATAAATTACAATAATATAAAAATACAACGCATTTAAGAAGCGCGAATAAATTCCGGCACAGAGTCCTTAGAGATGAGCCGGATTTGACGATAAGTGTGTGGAAAAATATAAACAGAGAAAAACCGGTTCAGGCGATAGTTCTAGTTGAAAAATATAAAAATCCTTAGTGTTTCAACTTTAGTTTGTCTACCGTATCATGTGAAGTTTAAATCAATGAATTCTGTTTATTTTTTTTTCAAGTAAACAAGACCTAAGATAAGATAAGAATAAGAAACAATATTGTTTATAGTCTACAAGTATCGATAACTTTCGATTTATACAAATATCGCGCATATTCCATGCCCAGCTGGGAACGTAAACAAAGTTCGGCAGACCGCACACTCATGCAGAATTGCAGAATTCCGTAATATATTTCATCAAATTAGATAGGAATCGTCAGCAGAAAGCACCACGGCAGTTTACACACACAAGTCCACAAGTCAATTGTCAGAATGAAAGACGCTAAGGTGAGTTTTGTCTCAAATTTAAGAGGCCTTACAACAGTTACATCATGTCCCAGCGGCAATCGGTTGGACTTCGACTGACGTTGGGGTGGATGGTGCTGCTGCAGGCGGTACTTGTGCAAACTGACCCCACCAATCCTTCGCTCACCCCATTTCAGCCCTTTCCCGTGCTTAAGAACGACAACCTGCTGCGAGCTGCACGCGGCGAGGTGGTGGACCGCGTGCCCGTCTGGGTTATGCGCCAGGCCGGTCGCTATCTGCCAGAGTTCCAGGAGCTGCGCAAGCAACATGACTTCTTCACAGTCTGTCGCACTCCAGAGCTGGCCTGCGAAGTAACCATGCAGCCGCTGCGCCGCTTTGACCTTGATGCCTCCATTATCTTCTCGGACATCTTGGTTATCCCACAAGCCCTTGGTATTACAGTGGAGATGCAGCCGGTGTTGGTCCCGTCCTGCCGCAGCCCATCAAAGTACCCGAGGACCTGAAGCGCCTCACTCCTGACGGAGCCTTGTCCCGTCTCAGTTATGTGGGCGATGCCATCACAATGATGCGGCACAAGCTGGAGGGCCGAGTGCCGCTTATCGGATTCACCGGGGCGCCCTGGACGCTTATGGGCTACATGATCGAAGGCGGGGGCAGCAAGACCATGTCCAAGGCAAAGGCGTGGCTTACTGACTATCCCGAGGACACCAAGCTGTTCCTCAGCTTGCTTACCGATTCCATTGTCGACTATCTGGAGATGCAGGTGAAGGCAGGCGCACAAATGCTTCAGGTCTTCGAATCCTCCGCAGAGCACCTCTCAAAGGAGGAGTTTCTGCAGTGGGCAGTACCCTACTTGAAGAGAATACGCATGAGCTGGTGGACCGCCTGACCAAAAAGCGATCCCGGTTGTGCCATTGTAAGTATAACTTCAATGTACAACGTTGCGACTACATTTATTGTCTTCGTGCAGACTCTTTTCGCCAAAGGTGCGGGACACTCGCTGAAGGAGCAGAGCGAACTAGGCTACGACGTCATTGGACTGGATTGGACCGTGGATCCCATAGAAGCACGCAATGTAGTGGGACCAAACATCACGCTGCAGGCAACCTGGATCCCCAGGACATGTATCGTGACGCCGACGAGCTGCGCGACCTGACACCGAGATGGTGCACAAGTTCGGCAAGTCGCGCTACATCGCCAATCTGGGCCACGGAATTACGCCTCAGACCCCGATTACAAGCATGGAGGTACTGGTGGAGGCGGTGCACAAGGCCTTATAAGCGACGGGAACTTTCCTATTGATTCAATATTTAATGATGCTTTTATCGAATGCAATAAAGACAATTTGGCCTTTTTGGTTTAGGGTAAGTTCATTGGAATGTTATATTTTGTGGCTGGTGATCCTGTTCCTGAAGGACCTTATCATAGATCATTAGAATACTGCCGCAGCAGATAAGCAAGGTGCCTAGGATGACTTCTGCAAGGTTTACGAGTTTTTAAAGATCAATAAATTATGTGTACTTATACTTACTCTTCCCTGGCAGCTTCTCGCCCAGTGCATATCCAGTTATGGCAGTGAAGGCGAAACTAAGGGAATTGGCCACTGGCACCGCCACTGTGATACTGGCACTTTGTAGAGTCCAAACGTAAAGAGCACTCCCGCACTGATTCAGCCCGAATGGTATCCAGTAGCGCCAGCGGGAGCCAATTGTGCGGACTTCCTGGAGGAAGTTTCTCCATTTAGAGCCCGTATCTTTGACCGACTCGATGCCCTGGCTGCCAAGGCGAATAAACGGATTGGTCACGCCCCACAGTAGGCCAACGGTTAAGAGTTCGCTGTAAATAGAAAACATTTAATTAATTTTATTATAGGAGGCAAATTTTGTTTATTTACCAGCAATTTCCCACATTTTAAATTGTTCACATTTGAGGTGATGAACTTGTACGATAGTATCGATAAATCTAATATTTTGTAATATATTTTTTTTGTTTGGCAATTTGTATTGCAATTTTTCTTTTTATTTTGATGTCCATTTATTAATTTAAAATTATGAAATTATTATAATCGAATATTTTTATTTCAAAATATCACAAAATCGATTACGATAGCCTTAGCGTGACCGTTCGTGGTTTCTTTTAATTCCCTTTTTTATAATCTGTTGTGGCCACACCAGCGACCTCTTCTTCTTTCTTTTTCGTAGCTTTTCATATCCGGAGAGGTTCGTAATTTGGGTTTTCTGAAATTTAATCGAAAGCATCCGAATATCGCACGAACAATATGAAGATAGCCGGGTGGCACCATGTTTCCCATAAAAATACCGCCAATTGACATGTACATTTTCCCCCAAGCTCTACTTTCTGTGTAATTTATTGCGTTCGGAAGTTTCCTCGATTTGATTGTTGTTTACGTTGTGAATACTTTAGTATTTGTACTCTTTCAACCTTGCAGGACAGTGAATAGCACCGTTGCGGCCTAACCAGCACAATGACCAAGACCAAGGGCGAGAAAATCAACAAATCGGCGATCAACGAAGTTGTGACCCGCGAGTGCACCATCCACTTGGCTAAGCGTGTCCACAACATCGGCTTCAAGAAGCGCGCTCCCCGCGCCATCAAGGAGATCCGCAAGTTCGCTGAGCGGGAGATGGGCACCACCGATGTGAGGATCGACACCCGTCTGAACAAGCACATCTGGTCCAAGGGTATCAGGTGTGTACAAACATCCGTACGTCTCTCGGTGGCATTCTTCCTAATCACATATGCGTTTGCTTTCAGGTCCACCCCATTCCGCGTCCGTGTGCGTCTGGCCCGCCGTCGCAACGACGATGAGGACTCTCCCAACAAGCTGTACACATACGTCACCTACGTGCCGGTGTCTACGTTCAAGAACTTGCAGACGGAGAACGTCGAGTCCAGCGACGACTAAGCAGCGTAATTGAAGGCCCATAAACACGGTTAATAAAAAGTAAATTTTTATTTAGAAAAAACAAAACAAGTGTTAACGAATCAATGTGATCGGAGTGACCTAAAGTGTGGTAAACTGTGGCTGTACCAAGAATACCGATTCGTCCGTGGACACAGACAGCAGTTGCAGCTTATTGACGGACAGCTGAAGTACTTTCAATGATTGGACTTCAGGCAGGACACTATCTCCAAGGATTTTCTGGAATCCTGCGGCTCCGCGATGCTGGTAAATGGTGAGCGGTTGATTTGGTTGATTGGAAACGTACAGCAGCAGATCATTCGACTCTGGCAAGTGCATAAAGCGTACTTCCCGTGCCTGAGGAGAGTCTTGAAGCTCCAAGACTTGATCCAGCTGGAAGTCATTGTTCTTAAATCTGTAGAATAATTATGACCAGTTACAAAATTATTTAATTGATGTGCTTATTGATGATACCTGTAAATGCAAATCTCTGCTGCTGGGGATGAAGCCACTATCGCCAAGAAACCACTCTCCATGCCGGCTTTTCGTTGCATTAACGTCATGTGCTCCACCTGCTGCCCGTTCAGAAGGCTCCTTACCAAAGAGTAATTGCCATTGCTCCATTTCCATAACTCCACGGCGTTTGAAGTTCTCAGCAGAATGGACGTATCATCTGAATCATTGGTCAATGCCAACAACTGTTTTGCATCCCGCCTGGCTATGATGATGGCTTTCCGACTATTGTTAAACTTGTCGAGGCATTCGATTACTATATTCTCCTCTTCTTGAAGCCCCAGGCACTGGAATGTGAACAGGCCAAGCTGTAGTCCCTTTGTCGCTGGGAATAAGCCGTCATCCTGTGATATTCGCTCCAAGACTTGCTGGCGACGCTCTGGCAGTGTTGTTAAGCCTGAAAAAACAATTTTATCATTATTTTGTTGAAAATATGTGACTATGGGATACTCTTTCAAAATGAAGGCACTAAAATTCTTTAGGCTAGCTTTGACTTTTTTTTATAACTATTCAGTTTGAATAAATTATGGTGAATTTATACAGACGTGAAAAGAAAAGAACGTTAGTAAAACTTGTCAAAGCTATTTGTCATTAAATATGTAGTATATTATCCCTTAAATTTCTTAAAATTCGATTGCTTAATTTACCAGTTCTTGAAACAAGCTAAGGCTTCTCATGGCCAGTTCTTCAGTTGGACATACATATATTATTACAATTCAGTGAAGGTAACAGTATAGAATATTACTATGCTGGTTTGTGTAAACTAAATATAAAGGGTAATCTTAGTGATTAGTCAGAAGGACTCTAGTCGAAAGTGTATATCAAAACAACAGAACAAAACAGATACGAAAACAGCCGATTGAGGTTAGCTTGCAAATCATTTAAAGGCAGTATTCGGCCTCTCATTTTTAGTGTGAAAAAGACAAAGCACGGATTTACAATGTACGCAGTAGGATGCATTTGGGTGTTCTGCCTGTCGTTCGTTGCCTCTGCAGGCCTGACGACACCCAAGCCAACGCTGAACACTATTCTCAGGTAGGCCGAACGTCTTTCCAAATGGATATTTCCACTAACAAAGAACTCGACAGCACCACCAGCAAGACCACTACCAGTACCGCCCCCACCGTCGGTGATCCGCTGCCCATGGTGATCAACACTTGGAACTTTTCAGTCGCCAATGCGTTTGCCTGGCGAATACTGAAGCAGAGCAAGGGAGGTCTCCGGCAGACACGCAATGCCGTGGTTGAGGGCTGCTCCAAGTGCGAGACTATACAGTGCGACCGGACCGTAGGATATGGCGGTTCTCCCGATGAGATAGGGGAGACTACACTGGATGCCATGGTTATGGACGGCAGCACCATGGATGTGGGAGCTGTAGGTGGCATGCGGCGCACCAAGGATGCCATTAAGGTGGCCAGAAATGTCCTTGAACACACGCAGCACACTATGTTGGTGGGCGACGCTGCCACAAACTTTGCCAGTGCTATGGGATTCAAGACGGAGTCGCTAACCACGCCCGAATCGAAGGACATGTGGCTGCAGTGGACAGCGGAGAACTGCCAGCCTAACTTCTGGCGAAACGTGCACCCCGATCCCACGGTCTCCTGTGGACCGTACAGGCCCAAGCCATCGGCCCTGACCCGCTGGAAGGAGGATCGAGCCCGGACCGAGTACGAGATCGGGCGCAACAACCACGACACAATCGGCATGATCGCCATTGATGTGGAGAGCAACATTCATGCCGGCACGTCCACTAATGGGGCGCGACACAAGATCCCCGGACGCGTTGGTGACTCTCCAATACCTGGAGCCGGTGCCTACGCGGATAACGAGGTGGGTGCAGCAGTGGCCACTGGAGATGGCGATATAATGATGCGGTTCCTGCCCTCCCTTCTCGCTGTGGAGGCCATGCGGGCAGGAAAGAGTCCGGCGGAAGCCGCTGAAGTGGGCATCCGTCGGATCTTGAAGCACTACAAAGCCTTTATGGGCGCCGTCATAGCCGTGGATCGTCTTGGAAACTATTCCGCTGCCTGTTACGGACTGGAGGAGTTTCCCTTTATGGTCAGCAGTATGGCGAAGCCGGTTAACCAAACGCGTCTGGAAAAGGTTAAATGCATACCGGCGCAGGAAACAGTGACTGTGGTACCTTTGTAATTACGCGAAAAATGACAAACAATAAACTTAAACGAGTTTTAAATTCATTGAATATTTATGTGTTGGATAACGCTGCGCACAGTTGCATTTCAAAAATAGGGTTACTCTAAAAATAACTAGTTTTCTGAGGAATATTAAAGGTAGGAAATATTTTCAAAATATAATTATTAAACTAAAAGCTTAGGAATTGCGAGCAAAACCGGAAATTTGCAGACTGTTCAATAATTATGAGTTTTGCAAGCAAATTAGTTGTTTACCATCTTGTATTTACTGTACTGATGCACGGCATTTTCGGTATTTTCGCGTCGCACGGTCACATTTTCCGCCAAATCGGCGTCTGTATCAGCAAAGCGAAAGGTGCAAAACGGAGGGCGAAAATCAAGCGAAAAAAGGCGGCTGCAACAAACAAGAATTCTCGTTGTTCGTGGTTTAAATAAAACAGCCTCCAAGATTAATAAGAACGAGCAACCAGCGGGTCGCAAGTCGCTGACGAAGATGGCAATTCAGTTGGATAAGATTCTTGCGCATATCGCTAAGGAGAAGGCCCTGCATCCCAACAATGGCGGCTCGACCAAGCAGGAGCAGGAGGAGGCTTGGGCCAGGATTGGACGCCTCAACAAGCTCTCCGTGCACGAGTCGCGCTCCATCTTCATTGTGCTACAGAAGAAGTATGAACAGGAGAAGCTAAAGGGCAACTCGGGGTGGAAGCTGTTTGGCCTGATGGACCAAATCCACCAGGAGCCCAAGGTGCCGATGAAGGATGAAGAGTGAGTGTTTTAGCAAGCTGCTCTGCTGGCAAATAGTATTAACCAATACCTGAATTCAATTTTTCAGCGAGCAAGGGGCCATGGACGAGGTGGAAGAGTACGAAATGCTGGAGGTTCAGGAGCAGGAGGAGGAGGAAGAACACGCTGACAACATCCCGTTCGGACAGCCGGCCAATTCAACCGGCTCAGCCTCTTCCGATGGCGAAAGCCCCACAAAGTCGCACGGCACCAGTTCGCCAGAGAAAGAGGAGCGTTTGCCCTCCAAGCCCATGGTGGACACACCACGTCCTGCTTTCGAGGAAAAGAAGCTACTCAACACAATGGCCAACAACACTCCACGAGCCACGACAAACAGCTCGGTGTCCGCCGCCGCGGCTGTACTCCAAAAGAAGGGCATCACCGTAAAGAAAACTCCCAGCTCGGCAGCCGGGGCTGGACAGAAATCTACGCCAGGCCAACAGACAACTAGCAGTGGCCTCAGGTCGGCTTCACGTACCACCATTCAGTTGCCCGATTCCCTGAAGCGCAAGCTTTCCGAGGAGTACCCCTCGCCTACACAAAAGAAGCTGCCAAAGACGACCAGTCCTAAACAGGCAGCTCCGCCTGCTCCAGCGCCCCTTCCGCCAAATGTGAGCGTTTCAGAGGCAGTGCCGAATGCCAGCGTGGTGCACACAACCACTGCCCAGCTTATGCAGGTGAAGAAGGATCGCGAGAGCAACCAGACCCCGCCGCCAGGTATCAATATCATTACTATTCCGCCGTCTCAGCAATTAAACGGCGCCGGTGTCGGTGGACCCACATCGTCGACGGCCGCCACCGTTGCCTCCACCTCGGTGGCTTCCACTAATGGCTTTTCGCCACACATCGACGATCTGGACTTTAAGAATGATATCATCTTCGACTCGAAGTTAAATGCCGCCACATCCAATACCCCCGAGATTATCAACTTCGGCAATTTTGACAATATGCTGCCGCCGACCTTTTTCAAGAATCTGTGCAACTCGTCGCGCCACGAGTCCCTTGGTCTGTATGTGGCCAATGTGATGAACCGACTGTCGTCGCGGGCCTCTGCCAAACTGGAGCTGAGCATCTTGCGGGCCATCCTTGATGCGCATACCGACGAACTGGAGCATTAGCCCCAAAAGCTTACAATTAATTCAACTCTAGACAACCCATGATGATTACTCAGCTTACACATTAGACAAACTCGAAGGTAGTTATGTAGTCTTGCTTATACAGTTTCCTGCTATTGCCGCGTTACTGTGTGTATTCGTGTTTAAAATATCTGCGTTGTGGCGCACACCAACGTATTAAAAGCTGTTTTGCCCGATGATAGGTTATATTGGGTTTCGAATTGATCTAATTCGACTCTGTGCATGCCGCCACAACGCCTTATTTTAAATTTAGTTGTAAGATACCATAACTTTTAATTGAAATTCCCATGTGTCAGTTCATCTTAAAATATGTTCATTTGCAAATAAAGCTACATAACTTACTTGAAACGGTCACGAAGCGGTGTTTATCCGGATTCCAGGCGTAGAAGATCACTTCGTAGGAGCCCCGCTCCCTGATTGCCAGTATATCATCGTTTTCGGAGAGTATAACTGGAGTTGATCAACTTTGTGGGTAGCTGCTGCACCAGGGCAAACTTCTCCAGGACTTTCGGGGGCTCTGTGGCGTGAGTTAAAAGGTTTTTATTTACATTTATTTTTAGATTTTAACTTTACTTACTGGACAATCTATTCTTTATAGCATCCACGTTTTCTTGTAACTGCTGCAAATCCTTAACAAAGTTGGAGTCCACGTCCCGTTTCCTTTTGTAATATTTGTCCAAAGGACCAATACCGTTTCCCAACTCATAATGGCCGACTGTGAGCGGTTGGGCAAACACCAGTTGGCTCTCTACATGAAGATTGGGTCGGTTCTGCGCCTTGTTGACCAACAATTCATTCACTGGCAGTCCATTGACAAAGTCTACTTGGAGATTCTCTACATTGTTGGTAAAGATTCGTTGTTGTTCCGGTAGACTGTTGGCCACCAACAGGGATCCCTGCATCTCCTGTTCCTTGTCGCGTAGTAGGAGTTTATCCGGATGCCAGATAATGCCATTTACGGGTCCCTTTGCCCGAAGATCATTGTAAAGATTGACGTTTTCCAGGCGAGTTACTCCCGCTATGCTGTGGTTTCCATATATGTAGGCCGCCTCGGTGATCCACTTGGCCATGGAAACGTCTGCTACCCGACTTTCCGGCGTAACAAACAGCTATTTATATTGGCACTATTAACGGTTTTCGGTGCTTCAAGGATCGTTGGATCAGAATCATTATCTTGGTTTATCCTCAGTACATCTGTAGCTAGATCAAATTGGTTAACCATGACATTGTTCAAATTTCCCGAAACCGAGGCCTCCGACAGAGACCATTTTCCACTTATTGTGTGAGGTCCGGCTGTTTTTAAAGAGTTTGCCACGAATTCATCAAAGTTTAGAGAAAAGTTGCTAGAAAATATAATTTAATTTATAATTAACTATAAATGTTGATTTAAAGAATACGAAAATTGTAATCCTATATATTAATTACAAACTGTAAGGGTACATATGTATACTTTATCTTCCCGAGGTTGGTTTCCTTTCTTGATTAAAATCCATTTCAAATATAACGTCGTTATATTTGAAAATACAAAAAAAAAAAAAAAAAAATACTAAGCTTCAGCTGAATGCCTCGTGGTATATTTCAACGTTGGCGGTGCGGTCACACTCGACAACAATCCAACAATCCCATAACTGCCCGACCGTAAAAAGTGCATTTAACCAAACCCAATCAGCGACCAAAATACGAGGTAATTGTACCACCTGTCTGCCGCATCGAGTGCTTTGATAGTGCGTCCTCAACCCCGCTTCCCCAATCGCGTACAAGGTAGAAAACGTGTACATCAATTTCCCTGCGAACCAACGCACAGCTGACTGTGCGCGTGCAGTGACTCTTAAACTGTTAGCGCGTAAACAATTGCAAAAGTGAAACTTGATACCTCATTTACCCCTTCGTTTACCCTTTGCCCTTTGCCTCGACCAAATGAACATACCCGGTGCTGTGCCCTCCACAAGTACGGCGCTGTCGCTGGTAGCACTGCCACGTAGGTCCACAACGCTCGCCGTCGGAGGCTGTGCGAACGTGACGTCATGCTGGAAGTTAAGGGGAGTTTTCACTTGCTGGCCGCGCGTCCGACTAAGGTAGTGTCTCTTGATGTGCTCCATCTGGTGCCGTTGATGGTTCCCTGTGAAAAGCAGTGTTATTTCATCGAAGGAGCGTGGGGTATGCATTTTTTACCCACCTGGAACTCTAGCAGGCCTTTAAAGTTGCCCGACTCCAGCTGTACTCCACTAAGCTCTACATCCTCATTGTCCAGCCACACTTGGTCCAAGAGCTTGTCCAGCTTGTGACCATTCAGCAGGTTGTAAGTGGGCGCCGCCGAAAACTTTACATTCTCGGCCAGGAAGGTGTTTAGATGTTGTCCATTTAAATAGTTGGCCAGATTGATCAGCGGATACTCATTTAACGTGCTTACATTGCAGAATCCGATGCCTCCAGGTTGCCCTCAATGCCAATTGGAGTGGTGAGGTAACCGCCATTATTCGTATTGTGGTAAAGCACATCCTCCGGCACGCGAAGGCCATTCAATAGACCCACTTGGAGCTCCGATTGCAGCACAATGGGATTTTCTGAGGGGTAAAGTTTAAAGTTACTTGCCAAGAAATTTCGAGGGAAAGCTTACCAAATCGCACTGCCTGCAAGTGCTCCGAGGCATTGAGCCTGTAGCTCGATTACCAGATCGTCCAAGGTATAGTTGTTAACTTCTCCGTTGAGCCAAACGCCTTGCTTACCCTCCAGTGACGCCAGCACCTGGGGAGCCGTAAAGTTCTGATCTCCCTTGAACTCCAGCCAAGAACGACCAAACTGATTGGCTGGGATGCCATTTAGGGATTTCCCGAAGCTCAGAGAACTTATATTTATGGCGTGGCCAAAGTTAAAGTCGCCCACGTACTTTATGTTGCCTGCCAGCTGCTGCAACTGCTGCTCCAATTGGGTCACGCTCACCTGGTTGATGTTCCCGCTAACCCACAGATTCTGGGCATAAATGGTACCGTTAAAGTCGGGCGGCAGATGCCAACTGTCCAGGTTTTGGCTACCATGTGCAAGGATAGAGGATTGAGGTTGGCCAAAGAGCAGGCCATTGAGGTGCAGATCCTCCAAATTCAGTTCCCAGCATCCAAGTGGCCAACAAACAGGGAGCCCTTCGACTGCTGATCTCCGCTAACTTGAAGGTAGTCGTCGAGCCCCAAGCCATTTAATGCTATCTGAGATGTATTCACTTGCTCCACTTCCACGCCTTGTAACTCTATTGAAGTAGAAATTGTTTGGTTGCCACTTTTGGTAAGCAATGTTTCCGGTAGCTTCTCCACGTCGATTCCATTCAGCCACTTGACTTCGCCGAACCCCTCGCTGATCTGCAGGGTCTGTGGAAACACCTTCATTCCCTCCACCACCTGCACTTCATCCACATTTAGCTTAACCAGGTTTTGCAAGTCTCGGGTTTGAGGAAGCTTAGCTGGTATTGTTGACTGTAAGGGGCTTCAAAAATTTGAGATTAACATTCTCCAGGGAGTTATCCAGGCGCAGACTGCGACTCAAAACTTCTGCTGTTGATCTTTGTGTGGGTTCATCCACCAAATCCCTCATCTGCAGCAATCTTCCAATGGTCACATCACCATCTATGACAAAATCACCCTGGAGTTGCAGCGGTTGATGAGTTACTTTCGCCGGTGACATGGCCCTTAGTTCAGCTCCACTCATGGGACCCTAGAATGGGATTTAAAGATATGTATATGGCCGGTTTGGGCATTCCTGTTAACTACCCACCGCAATGGTAACTGGCTCCAAAACCCGAACATTCTCGAATCGCTTCGATCCCTGGATCACCTGGGTGTTATTTGCCTGCCTGAGCAACACATCGAAGCGCTGACGATCGACATGGATGTGGTTGAGGCGCTGATTGATGAGCAATCGGTTCACCTGGACGGGCTGGGCAAACTGCACATCCTGCTGAACTATAAAATTGCCGCCATCCACTGGGATGAGGTGGCCCAGCGGGCGATCGTTCACCTCATTGCTGTTCACCTGTGCAGCATCGGACTTGAGATTTGAGATATCTGCTACGGCCTTTATGAATTGCACATCTCTGCCGCTGCGTTTGAGCGTCTGCTCCACCAAATCCTCCCACCTGAGACCATTCAGCCTGCCCTCCAGCTTTAGATCCTTCACGGCCAGCTCCTCGAGAAGCGGTTTCTTCTGTTTTCTTGCTGGTTCTGTATACGTTTCACTCACGTATACCTTGTTGGCTGCCACGGACTCGTAAACAGGGTTCTTGGTATCAACTCCATTGATACGATCTGCTTGAATGGATCCGTGCACCACCAGGGTGTCCACGGTGACTTCCTCGAATTGATGCTCCTCCTTGAGTTTATCTGCGGCTCTTTTAGCTGGATGTCGGGAGCTGGTGAATCAGCAATGTGCTCTATAACATCCAGAGCATGTTTGGCCAACTCCAGGCTTTCCAGTAGTTCGGATTCAGCTTCATGTGCTTATCCTCAAACTGCATATGGGGAATATGGTTGGGTTTCTAGCAAAGTGTCTTGATTTAGTTCTCTTACCGATTTGGCTTTCACTCTATTTATGTGGGCGGTCTGAAGTTTCTCTATACGTTTTTTCTGCTTATCCTGCACGGGGAACAACTTAATCTCACCTTAATGAATTTAAGTTTAATCCACTCACCTGTAGCCTCTGCAGTAACTCCTCCACATTCACACGCTCCAATCGCTTTCTCTGCTCCCAGCCCAGTCAATAATTTGTTGTCGAAGTATATTGGCGTGTTCGTCCTGCTTAAAAAGCGGCTGAAAGATGTTGGTCTCGTTGGCAGCCATGTTCTCATTAGAAATAACTGAAATAATTGAAAATCTTGATGGGGAACATTAGGATATACCAGAGAGGAAACCTCACCTAAAAAGCTCTTTGGACCCTCCTCATAACTTCTCATTCTGGCCACGCCGCGACTTAAGGCACCTTCTGTAAACTGAACTTTGGACTCTTCGAACCTCCAATCGTTGAGGTTAAAGATCTTGACGTCCTGCTTGTTGCAGGCTACCAGGAGCAAGAACTTCTCAGATACCGAGTGCTGAAAGAGAAAAGATATTGAGGGTGTGCCATAATTTTTTATCGTTTCCCATTACCTGAACTGGTAGAACCCTTTCCAGAGCAAAGAAACTCAGCCGCTGATAGGGCACAAACTGACCCTTTTCAAACACATAGATCACGGTGTCCGCCTCTCCTTCTCCGCCGGCGTTGGATCCACCAATAGTGTTGCCCAGAATGAGAAAGTGCCGCCTGGTAACCTCGTTCACCGGCAAACTGAAGTACTTCACGTCCACGGCTCCATTGCTGCGTAGCCGCTGGAAGAGTTGGAACTTCTGTGTCTTGGTGTCATACTTAAAGATTTCCGAATGGGTAGCGGTGCGTCCCTCGGCGTCCGCATAGTTGGCCACAGCCACATAATCGGTATAATCTACGCCGAAAGCCTCCAGCCGCCGGGCATTGCTGCAGGGAATCGATCCCAGACGCTGGAAACTCCGACCCATCCACTTGAAGTAGGGACACTTTGCTTCCGAGTCGAAAGCCTGCAGAAGAGTGAGCTCCTGGCTGCTGATCCGCAGATACATACCGCGCAGTCGGGTTCCCGAAAAGTACTGCACAGTTCGAATTCCCGTTTCCGCGGAGAGCTCATAAATGGGGGAACCTTCCCGGGCCTGTGTCACATCCTCGGTTAGATTGTAGCTTAGGGCCACGTAGCCTCGTCCAGCGAAGCGAGGCAGTCCAGGGCTACCGCTTTCGGTGCTGGCAATTCCACAGTAGCTGGTAAGCCTGGTCATGGACGCCATTCATATACGGCAAAGTGACGCACTCCAGCTGCACTCTTGTGCAGGGCAGTGCATACTTATCGTGGGCAATTGGAGAATGCAAATTCCAAGGGAAAGGGCACTGGCACCGAAGCCACTCGGGTCAGACCATCAAAACTAAAGCTGGCTGTTAAAAATAGGGATTTAATAGGAGATAATAATACTTCTTAAAAAGCGTTTAATGTGTTTCTGCATCCTAGATCTTTTGATCCCTCAATGTACATTTCTTATTGTCATCATTCGCTTGTTTGTACTTTAGCCTTACCATAACTCTGGAATAGGATCGTAAGCAAAGCGCCGCCCGCTGACTAAACCAAACAATTCTCTCTAACTCTCCGTCAGCCATGGCCCAGGAGGAGGAACTGTTAACCTATCGCCGCTGCATTGGCCAGCAGCTGGAGGAGCTGGAGTTGCTGAGCTCCATTTACTGTGCTCCGGGGAATTGGAGATGCTCGATGCCGGGGTCGTTGCCGATTTCAATGAGTTCCTTGAGGAGGATAAGGACAGCACCCCCGCAGATCTTCGGTCGGATCTAGAGTACCTTGTGAAATTGAGTCTACCCGCCAGGCAGAGCGTGGAAGTCCGAGTGAAACTACCCCATCTATATCCAATATTGGAGCAGGCGGGGTCAGTGTGTACAGTCCCTTGCTGGGAAAATCCAGAGAACAGCGGCTAAAGACAGATATAGAACAGTATCAAAGAGACCGACGGCAGGAGGATGCAGAGCCGTATATATTCCAGCTGCTAAGTTGGCTGCAGGATCAGATCGAGGATCTATTGAAACGGCCATCCTCCGAGTTTGTGGAGCCGCCAGAAACCTTGAGCCGCGCCACCAGCTGCCCTCCATCTCGAACGCCTGTGGATATATTCGCACCACATAAAGTCCACAGCCAAGCGGCAGGAATTGGTACGCCAGGCCCGCCAGCTGGAACTCACTGGCTTCAGTCGACCCGGCAAACCCGGCATCATATGTGTCGAGGGTGACCCGGATAATTGCCAGGAATTTTGGCGCAGCGTTAAAGCCCTCCGCTGGCAAAAGATCAGCTTGGTGCGACGGAGTCGCGGCAGCGCAAGCGTGTTTCCAGGATTCAGCGAACAGCTCTTCAATGCCGAGGAGGGAGTGATGAATATGGGTCAGTTTATTCGATTCCTCGAGGACCACGGCGTTGGCTACATGAAGGCAGAATTGTTTGGTTTAGCCTGAGCGGCATCCGGTCAGACTCCCCCAAAATTCGATTTGTAAATAAAGTTTGTTATATGAGTTGATTATAAGAAACCTTGATCAAAGAACTGGGCACATCCGCTGCCCGTTTGTGTGCATTGAGTCCTGATCCGAGTTGATGTGGTAGGTGGGATAGGTCTCTTCAAAATGCACTTCGAAACTATTTCCATGAGCAAACGCTCCCGCGAAGATCAATATAAACAATAAGCGACACATTACACATATATTTATTGAGAGGTAAACGATACGAAACGTGTAAGAAAACATAAATTTTGCCACGTGTCTGCAGATGTTATTTTACTATATTCTAAAGATATGAAAACGGTTTTTAAAGCTCTGAGATAAGTGTGCAATCAGCTGTCTTTGTAGCTTAACCCTGATTTAAAGTGCTCTAGGCAGCTTTTAAAAGACCAAAAACTAAGGGGTTATATTCGGTGGTATAGGAGGCTGTACTGGGTTATAGGAAAGTGTCTTAGAGAGATCAATATGAGTTTTAAAATAACCAAATGTCTAAATAAACCCATCTGCATCGACTTCTGGCACCTGAATATCACCTGGTTCCTCACGAACTATCTCCGTTGAACAGGCAGCCGTCGGCCCCTCAGTGATCATCTCCTGGCTAACATCCTCGTTGACACTATCCTTCGGCTGGGTTGCTCCTTCCGGCTTCTTGGCAGCTTACCATTCTTCATAAAGGCGCAGTAGCAACAATGCTGTGATGAATCAGAAATCTTACTCATTTTGGCTGCATCTCTGCAGCGCCGGACCCAAGAAATTTGGTAGTAGGCTCGCCTGAAGTTTTCATTGTTGAACCCATAGATGAGAGGATTGACGGCGGCATTGAGGAACATCAGATACTGAGAGATGTACCAGAAGAGTTGCATCCATTGCTCACTGAGATATCCTCTGCGAAGTACTTCTCCCGCAGAACTACCAGAATGGTGAAGGGTAGACGGAGCACAGCAACACCACGACAACGATGAATAGGGTTTTGGCCACGCTGCGCTTGTAGCTCACTTGGATTGGGTTCTCGCGGCTCAGGATGCGTTTTTCATACCGATCAAGCTGAAATTTTGTATTATCACTGAATCCTTGACCGCTGAGATCCTTCCACTTACCTTGTAAAAAATGGCTATATAGCAGATCAGCATTATGCCAAGAGGCAGCCACACCAGAATTGTGATTAGCACATACCAGTACTTGGGCAGGATGCTAGTGTTCTCCTTGCAATAACGCTCCGTAAAGTTCTTCCAAAGTCTTACCCTATAGGATCTGTACAGAGCCAAGGGGGATGCCAGGAGTATACCCAGGAACCAGGTGCAGACCACCACGATCTGGGCTCCTCTGACGGTCAGGCGGGTCTCCATGGGCAGCACTATGGCAGTGAGACGGTCGTAGCTGACCACCGAGAGATTGAGCACCGCTGTGATGAGGAAAACCACCACCAGGAATCCCTCCAGCTTGCAGCCCACACAGCCCAGCTGGTAATTCTGATAGAAGTCGTTCAGCATGAACATGGCCGGGCAGATGGCCAACGTTAGCAGATCGGCCACTGCCATGTTGGCAATAATCAGGTTGGTGGGCGACCTTAAGGATCGATTGGCGGCTATCAGATACACCATGGTGAAGTTCCCATACAGACCAAAGACAATAAGGGGCAGAAAAGTGATGATTTTCCAGGTGATTTCACCATTGGGCTTGTGCAGCCAGATGCGTTCTCGGGAAAGTTCCACTTACTAAAGTCAAACTGAAGAAGGGGAGTTAAATGGCGAAGACAAGTACCGAATCTTTTACCAACTTCATCGCTAGACGAGAATGTGGCCATGTTGGTGGCTTCCTGCTTCGTTGGCTTCCGCAGAGGAACTGCCTTTTGCATGGAGCAAATTGACATGACCGAAAACTGATCCCACATAAGTCGCCTTGCTGATTGACAAATCCATTAACAGGTGTCAAAGATAGTAGCCGCTAAAAGCTAATGGTATTGCGATTTAGCCATCTGTCGAGCCTCTCTCTGCGATTCTCTTGAATTCAGGTAAACGTGTTCAGAAATGCATTTTGGGCTTTTAATAAAACTTTGTTTCAACCTTCTTAATCAATGTCCAGTTTCCGGAACGAGCCCTCCACCCCGAAAATGGAGTCCTCATTCACACGTTGTCCCGGTCGTAGTTGTTCATTCACTCCGAATTGTGAGTCCTTGTCGAAATACTCCTTAAAGGACACAAATTGTTTTTCAGCCTCTGCCTGGATGTCGGCTATACTTCCATTGCTGCCTCCGTACTCCTCTGGCAGATATTCAAGTGGTATTACCTCGCTAAACTGCTCCAGGTTCTTGAAAAAGAAAAACTGTGGAAAGGTAGTAATATAGTAGTTTCTGATATCACGTTTTATACCAACTGTTTGCCCTTATGTTTTTCCCGAAAGTTGAATGTTTTGATTTTTGAAAGATTAATTAATATAGTTCAGACAATCAGAAGCGACAGAGCGCTCTTATGATTCACCCAGACTGCCAGAAAATGGGCTTTTTTACTCACTATGTGACACTCACCCGCTGCTGGAGCTTGCTGGGCATAAGACTTTTGGCCAGATTTATTATGCCCATCCCTTCCTTGGGGCAGTTAATCAGGTAGACGCCCTTTAGGCGGGAGGGATGAGCCTTGTCAAGGAAGATGCCCATTCTTTTGAGGAGCTTCAAGTCTACTTGAGCCAGGAAGCTGAGGCTCACTTTGGCCATGTCACTGATCTCAATATATCCGCTAATATTGCTGTTGTCATCCTCACTGATGGCCTGCTCCATAGTCATAGTCCAGTAGCGGAAGAAGTCCACCAATTTGAATTTCTTGGCATCGAACCTAGCATAGTTTGTGAGCTGAATACGAGGGCCTCCGGGTCCCCAGGGTTTGGGAAGTCGTAGATAGGTGCTTGAAGAAATTTTGTTGAATGAACTTAAGTCCTTGAAGATATTACCGGTCACCCGAACTTACCCTGTTCGTAGTATGGCCAAGTTCATGTCATCCACCACACGGTTGCGAAAAAGCTCCGGCACTAGGGTCTTGATAGTGTAGAAGTGATCCAGCTTGGACTTGGTCTTCTCCAGGCTGAATTTGCAGCCCCGCAGAAACCCGATAAGAAATTGGTCATCCTGCCGGGCCTTCAGATAAGGCTGCTTGGCCAGCCAATCCCGCAAAGCCTCCAAATCAGCGGGCACCCGCTCCTCCACCTCGTTCAGCTCCGCAGCGGCAACGCGACGGAGCTCGGTGCTGAGTGGACGCAAGTTGGACATTATGGCAGGGAAGACGTTAGCTTCGTGGCAGTTAGATGTATATTAAACGCTAAACTTATCACAAGTCATTAACTATTCCACGCTGAAACGTGACCGTGAAATGCTAATCTGATGCTGCTTCTCTCGCTTTTTGAGCTCCTCTACCCCAGTCGACTGCCATATACACATACTTAATTGCATTTACGGATCGAATCGATTTTGCAGTACCATCCACTTTTTTAGTGTAAATATGCATAAAGACAGGACACAATTCTAAGTTTTAATGAAACGGTTCTAAGCTGTCTTTTCTATTTATCTCTTCAGTCTAGTTCATTAAGTAAGCACATTGTTATTAAACTATTTGGGTTAGTCCTCGCAGCATCCAAATAATTTCGTAATACTAATTGTAAGTCTTTACTAATTTTTCCTGTTTTATATGTTTTTTTTTTTCCATTTGCTACGCGTAGTAAACGCATTGACATAGTTCGCTAGTAATATTATATATTTTATACAATTCCTTTTAGTTTTTCTTTCTCAAATTAGATTAATTCTAATAATAAACAATCTTCGACTTGCCGAAGTTGTTCCTTCTGGTTTAAATTTTATTTCCTGCATTTTTGGTCCCAAAAAATTACGTATACGCACAGGTTAATTATTATAATTTTAGTCAGAGCTTGTAATGCTGTGAAAGATTGTGTTAGCTTTAGGTATTGTCTAGACTACAAGAAACCTAAAATATGTGTATTCTAGTTTTATATCTATTTTTATTATATACTAATTTTTTTTGATAATCCAAGTTTTTAAAATATTATAACTAAGCCAAAAATGCATACGTTTTATTCAGATAACTTTTCTGTGCTAGTTTTTACAGTGTTAACAAATCTGTATATTGAGTTTTAAAACTTATAAAAACAAATATTTTTGTTAATTTTGACAATTAGCGATGTAACCTATAAATTTTCAAAACATGATAAACAAAAATTTTCATCAGACATGACTAGATCGATTCGGTTGTTTGTGCTGATCAAGAATATATATGATTTATAGGCTCGGAAAAGACTCCTTCAATGCATTACAAGCTTCTGATTAAATTATTATACTCGGCAGAGGTATAAATAAACCAGTGCGTATACGTAATTTCTTAGAAATATTTATATACATTATATAATTGTCATGGTTTATACTTACCATAGTTGAGGACACATCCTTATTCGCCATTACTTAACTTCTTCCAGTTGTATTCTCGGTGACTTTAATTAAGTTTAGTAAGCTTCTTCCTGGTTGTCCAGATGTATTCCATTGGTCAGGCGATATTTCCTTCGTCGAAGGGAACTTTCACTATCATTACCACTTTCACCAGAGATGTTAACAGCGGGGAGGCCGCGGACGGACTGACGTGGGTGCGCGGCATCGCCTCTATTTATAGTCACCGAGTGAAGAGAGCAGAGAAAGTGAGAGCGCGAGAGAAAGAGCCAACTCTAGGGATGCACAGAGAAAGGCCGGGAGAAAGAGATGTGTAGAGATGCACAGAGAGAGGTAAAGAGTAAGAGCTATCTGTACAGATGCACAGAGAGAGGTCGGGAGAAAGAGAAATCTGTAGAGAGGCACAAAGGGGTAGTGAGTGTTCATGGCTATTGATGCTGATCAATAATATATAAACTTTATATGGTTTCTCCTTCACTGTGTTGCTGCTAATGGTGTTGCAATTTAACCGTCTCATGAATTTAACCATTTTCATGATTTTAATTAAGCTTGTTCAGGTATGCATATCATCGCGATTTTAATTGAGACTATTTTTCCATTTAAATACATTTATAAATCTTAATGTGAGCCCTTGCCAACTGCCACTAGTCAATGTCAAGCTTGCGGAATGAGCCCTCAACCCCGAAAATGGAGTCGGCGTTCACTCGTTTTCCCGGTCGTAGCCGCTCATCCACTCCGTATTGTGAGTCCTCGGCGAAATACTCCTTGTAGGCCAAAAATTGCTTCTCTGCTTCCGCCTGGATATCGGCAATACGTCCATTGGAGCCTCCGTATTCCTCTGGCAGATATTCAATCGGTATCACCTCACTCAATTGCTCCAAGTTCTTGTACACGTGAAACTGTGAAAGGTAAAAAAGCGTTAGTCATCGGTCATCCAAACGTAAAAGCAGATAAAGCCAACGTGTTGATAGTGACTACTGATATATCTTTCTTCCACGGCTGTTTGCCTTTATGTATTTCTCTGTGGAACGCTTCTCCGATAAGCGGCCGCCCATGTGCTCAGACAACTGACCTTAGCCACTATTTTTTTAATGCGTTGCACTTCTCCAAAGTTAATTGCTCTGATTTATGAAATATTAATTAATATAGTTCAAGGGTGAGAAGCGACAGTGCTCTTCAGAGGTCTTATCATCTGTCAAGCAGACTGGCTGATATCCCCGTGAAGTGTCCGATAAGGGGCGAAAATAAATTAGCAGAAGGGGTTCCAACTATTCTTAGCTACTATTCGACACTCACCCGTTGCTGGAGCTTGCTGGGCATAAGGCTCTTGGCCAGATTCAGTAGCGCCACCCCTTCCTTGGGGCAATTGATCAGGTGGACTCCCTTCAAGCGGGTGGGCTGAGCCTTCTCCGCGAAAACGCCCATCCTTTTGATGAGCGTAAAGTCGAGTTGGGCCAGGAAGCTGAGGCTCAGCTTGGCCATGTCGATGATTTCGATATAACCGCTAATGTTGCTGTTGTCATCCTCGCGAATGGCCTGTTCCGAAGCATCGTCTGATAGCGGAAGAGATCCAGCAGCTTGAACTGTTTGGGATCAAACTTTTCGTAGTTTGTGAGTTGGAGTCGAGGGCCTCCGGGTCCCCAGGGCTTGGGCAGACGAACATAGGTCCTGAAATCGAGTTTGTTGATCAATCCTTGAGCATCCACCTGCTACGGAACTTACCCCGTTCGCAGCAGAGTCAAGTTCTTCTCATCCACCACTCGGCTGCCAAAGAGCTCCGGCATAGGGTCTTGATGGTGTAAAAGTGATCCAGCTTGGACTTGGTTTCTCCAGGCTGAATTTGCAGCCACGCAAAAACCCAATTAGAAATTGATCATCCTGCCGGGCCTTCAGATAAGGCTGCTTGGCCAGCCAATCCCGCAGAGCCGCCAGATCGGCGGGCACTCGCTCCTCCACTTCGTTTAGCTCCGCAGCGGCAATGCGACGGAGCTCGGGGTTCAGCGGTCGCAAATCGGGCATCATGGCTGGCTGGGAAGTCGTTGGCTTCGTGGCAGCTGGATGGCTACTAACCGCTTTGCCTAATCACTTGCCAGCCCCAATCCCGAGCCGAAACGTAACCGTCAAATGCTAATCTGATGGCGCTTTATGGCCGCTCGTTTGGGCTGATAGTGGACCTGGCCGCTCCCGCCGCTCTCTCTCTTTGTCTCTCCTGGCCGGATGCCCCATCTGATCCGGTGTGGGGGCGGACGAAGTCTCTCGCTGCTAGATAAGATTACAGAGCGCCTGCATCGGTGGCGAATATATGAGTGTGCAGCTGTTGCTACTTATTTGGGGAGCGTTTTTAGTGTTCGAACCACGCCACAGTTCAAACAGGCTATATCTTATCGCCGGATCGGGAAAGCACAGTTGGTTGGAGTTACCCAATTATGGGTATTTAATGTCATTTCTATATTCTTTTCAAGTGGTCTTTTTTTGGCTCGTCCCGTTAAAAATTTTCCTTTGAGAGGGGTTAAGAAAGCTAAAAAAATCTTTGCTACTCTTTTAAAATATAGACATATTTTGTGTCTAATTTAATATCCGCAAAGTAAAGATTTATTACTTTAAATTGGAGAATAATAATGTTCTTGGGATGCTAATAACTAATTTTAATACAGACTCAGGGAGAGATGATAAAATAATGTCTAAAGGACCTCTTCAGCACTTAGAATTTCATAGTCAGGATTCACTATAACGAAAAGTTTTTCAGCTTTGAAAACTGACAGGGATAAATGCCTTTCTTTTTATTAAATAAATTGTACTATTTTTTTGGCAGTTTTGCATAAAATAATAATGATTTATTTGTCTTCTTAACATAAGTATCTTTTGAGATTAACTTTAACCATAGTAATTTGTACATTTTTAAGGTCAACTAAACCTGGCCATATATGTAGCTATCATATCTGTAAAACATTTCTATTTGTGTTTTGTCACTATCGCCTACTGATAACGAACCAATCCAGCTCCGCAAAATGTTTGCTCACTGTGAGTTTGCCAGATGAGGGGAGGAGCCTTTGGTAGTTACTTTTGCACCAGTGTGCGCCCCGTTGTTATCAATATGGCTCTCACTCCGAATCGGAATCAATACACCCCTGTGGTGGTCCCGGTCCCTAGTCTCAGTCCAAGTAAGAGTCCAGGCAGGCAACGACATTTCGATTAGTCGTGTAGTCGCACCTGGCTAGAGCATACAGATACAGACACCACTCGCCTCGACCGACACAGGCATCCAACCTTTGGCATCGTATCCCTCCAAAATTGACGGCCAAAGTTTCGATCGTTTTGCAGATCCCTGTGACCATGGCCAAGATACGAAAGCTGGTGCCAGAGCTGGCCGAGGTTGCTCGAACGGAGCTCAATGAGGTGGATTCCGAGGTGTTGAGGAAGATCGTGGCCTTGCGCAATTGGATCAATGAAGTAAACTACCTGAAGGCGCGCACCGATGACCAGTTCCTGGCGGCCTTCCTTCGCTTTTGCCACTGGGATGTGGAGGAGGCTAAGAAGCGGATACTTTTCTACTACACATACAAGACCAAGGAGCGTGAACTTCTCAAGAGCCGCCTGGTGGACGATAAGCTAATTGAAATGGCACGTTCAGGGTGAGTTATATTTCCAGCGTTCTATGTTCTCTGTATATTGATTGATTGTCTTCGTACAGAATCTTCGCCACATTACCGAATCCCATTGGCCCTGGCGGTCCCCGCATCCATTTCACACGCATGGGCCACATCGAGACTTCCAAGTACACCGTCAGCGACATTTTCCGCTTCCATGCCTTCCGTGCTGAGATCGAGATCAACACGGATGACAACTGGAATATTGCGGGTGTGGTGGAGATTCTTGACTTCACCAAGATTCCCTACTCCCTGCTGCTGCAGTTCGATGCCGGTATGTTCAAGCGGATGAATGCCTTTTTGGAGCATGGCATACCCACGAATTTAGTGGCCACCCACATTGTGCACGCATCCAGGGAAACGCAGTTTGTCCTAGGATTGGTCCGGAATGTGATGAAACAGAAGGAACTGGTGAGTGTTGGCTGCTCTGATATTTTCTACAGGAGCTAATTATCTATTACCATTGTTAGCTGCACATCCATCCGAATCTGGAGTCCCTGCAAAAGGCCATCGGCAAGGAGTACTGCCCTCCGAAATGGGCGGCAATAATGGCACACTGCCTGATGCCATGTCGCGGTACGAAACCCAATTAAACAGCTTCGCGAACTACTTCAAGGAGGACGAGCAATATGTCGTTGACGAGAAGGCGCGGGAGGCTAGCGAGGCGGCTCCCATGGCAGCCGGCGCCGAGGGTACCTTCCGGAAGCTGAACATTGATTGAGGCGGGAAGGGGAGGCCGGGAAGTTAGTTGTATATTCTGATGCACATCTTATATATATGCCCTTCACACAAACACACAGCCCAATATATATATATATATATATATATACACACTGGAATGTATAGACACTACAGCGCTATAGCGATCATTGGTCATAGCAGAACCTGATATTTTATAAATGAAACATGAGAAAGCAACATCGAAACTAAAAGCAAATTGAACAATATTATAAAAAGTGCACACTTAAAACTAAACACAAAAGGAAAAACTAAAAAAAAAAAAAATTATGGAATGCCATCAAATGGCACAAAAAACCTCACATTATGTCGATTATAATTTATTGTTGTCCTTATCAACGCACATATACTATTTACATACAAGCATACTTACACACATTCTAACGTCCGATCGTGAAGGTGTATATAACCCCACACGATCTATATCCTATCCCATGATCCCATAACGCATTTTCATGACGAAATCCTCAACGTCTTCTACTCGCGTGCTAAGTTGTTGTTGGCTTTTATTTTATACATACATATGGTACTTGAATATATATATTTTTTCGATAATTTTCTTTGTTAGTTTAAGTGTCGTTTCTACTAATTTTTGATACTAGTTTACACATATACAGGCATCTATATTTATAGATAAATACATGCATAGTTAAATGAAAATAACTAATGTTGCAAATGACAGTGTATTGTAGAGTCAGAGTCCCATGTTGAGTGCGTTAATAAATTAAAGAGAATTTGTTTAAATGTCGGTACAAGTACAAGAAATGATGTATTACTTTAGGGGGTTCCAGTTTTTTTCTATTCTTTATTTTCCAAGGCAATAAGCTTTATCTGAGTTCCAGATAAAAGCCATGATATCAGATGTCCGGTTCGTTAATTGATAAGTTGAGACCAATAAAGAATTCAGGTAAGTTTGGGTCGACATTTAAGAAATATAATGTATAGAGGATTTTTTCTTATATTTTAGAGCTAGTTTTCCAATTTCTAAAGTTATTTTATTAACCGATCATTTACTAGACGATATAAAAGGGAACACCTAATTTAGTTTTTACAAATATTAAAATCATTTTTTTCCTTCAATATTTGCATTCTTTAAAACTATCGATATTTGTATATGTAATTTTTTTCACAAATCATAGTTTAATATACATACTCAGTCAAAATGCATTAATTTTAATTCGGAAAACGTGCTAGTTTTTAGTAGGTTAATAAATGGCATACTCCATTTTAAATTTTGTAAAATTAATTTTTGCCAATTTTTAAAATTTTAACGATGTAACCCCTTAAAAAATTTCAAAAAATTGGAAAAATTTTTTTGCCAAAAAATGTCTAAACGACTCGCCTGTTGATGCTGATCAAGAATATATAAGATTTATGGGTGGAAATGACTCCTTCACTGCTTTTCAAGCTTGGAACATTTTTTTATTGGGTTAAATTTTAAAAAATTAGTTTTTATATATTTTATTATTACTTCGGATTTTAATGGCGAATCGAAATCTATATAATGTTTGGCGATCTTTGGGTTTTAGGACATTTTATGCTTTCAATTAGATGTAAAATAAAATTCAATGTTTCTTTACAATAAACATTATGCCTCATATGTTAAAAAAAACTAAATAGTTCTTTGTAAAAAATGATTATTTCTAAACTGGAAACTCTTTTAAAATTTAATAATACATTCTATTTAATGTAAATGAAATTTTAAATAAGGTCCCCCTAAAGCTAACCATAGTGTTGCAAACGACTGAAATGTACTTTGAACTGATATAAAGCTTTCTGACACCTTCCCATCTGGTCTGGCTATTATTATTTGTGTGTTTACCTTGTTATAGTCAAACAACTGAATATAAAATTTGCCAAGATGTCAAAGCAATTAAGTACTATTATGATTTCCTGTCGCAACCTTCTCGAGCTTTGTGGATCGCCATGCAAATGAGCAAAACGCCTTTTGAAGATTGCCCCGTTGCGCTAAGAAAACGTAAGAACCATTAAAGCAACAACAACAGTTGTATCAAAAGCCGGTTGTTATAATATTAACTTATTATATTTATATATACTATTAATATTTATTTTTCTATTTATTTGACAGAGGAACAATTGACCGACGAGTACAAGAAGATCAACCGCTTCCAGAAGGTGCCAGCCATCTTGGATGGTGACTTTCAGCTGGGTGAAAGTGTCTCCATAGTGCGGTAAGTTATCTCCTAATTTCGTGATTACCTGGGCTCATAGTACATCTCTCTTTCAGTTATCTCTCGGACAAAGGTGTGTTCAGCGAGCAGCTGTATCCCAAGCTATTGCAGGGTCGTGCCCGCGTGGACGAGTTCCTGGAGTGGCAGCACTTCAATGTCCGATACGTCTGCTCCCTGTTCTTCCGCCAAGTTTGGTTGCTGCCGGCCAAGGGCCTGGCTCCGCCTCCAAAACCAGAGGCAGTTCAGAAGCTAATCAAGGATGTGGAGGCCAATTTGGGACTTGTCGAGCGCATCTGGTTGGAGAAGGACTTCCTGATTGGGGACAAACTCACGGTGGCCGATATCTTTGGCGCTTCGGAAATCAATCAAATGAGTAGGACTTCTTTAAAGCTCCCAATAGAATTGTTTTTATCCCGATTCAATCCTTTCCAGAGCTCTGTCAATACAATGTAATGAGAAGCAATTCCCCAAGATAGCCAAGTGGCTGGAACGTGTCCGGGAGGCCACCAATCCTTACCATGATGAGGCCCATAGCTTCCTGTACAAGGTCTCCAAGCAGGGTGCCAAAGCCAAGAATTAAATAGAAGATTTCAGCTTCATTTTTTGTTTGCATTTATTAAATTTTTAAGACATCACTGTAACCAGTTTGTGCCTTTTGTTTGTGTTCAGTGTCTGTTTGTACATGCTGGCATAGAAATATATTTAAATCTTTTCAAAAATGTTAAATTTATACCTTTTATTTAAGCTCCAACATTTGAATTTACCTCCAAGAGTGGGACAACTCTATACCATCCAAACTTTCAGCCAGTGCTGGAAGTCGACGACGGAATTGATCTTTGGTCTGGAGGAACTTCTTTGTTGTGGTTCCTCTCAGTTGGGTGAAATTTTAAGAGTCGCCGGTAGTTCGCTAAAGAACCACAACAAGTTGAAGCTCTATGTCCGGGTCAATTAAGTTCTATTACGACTTGTTGTCACCCGTCGCAAGGGGACTATGGTTGGCTCTGAAATTGGGCCAAAACCCATCGAGTATTGCCCCATTGCCCTCCGTAAATGTAAGTTAAACCAATCAATTGATATGTTTCTTCAACTAATAACTTAAATAATATTTTAGTTGAGCAATTGACCGATGAGTACAAGAAGATCAATCGCTTTCAGAAGGTGCCAGCCATTGTGGATGGAGACTTTCACTTGGCGGAGACCATAGCCATCATTCGCTAAGTGGTCACATAGTACGATCGATGTTTCTAACTCTTCTACTCGAACATTGCCTCACTCTAGTTATCTTGCCGACAAAGGTCAGTTCGATGAGAAGCTTTACCCAAAGTCCATTGAGGCTCGGGCGCGGGTGGATGAATACCTGGAGTGGCAGCACCTCAATATCCGACTGGCCTGCTCCCAGTACTTCCGCGATGCCTGGCTCTTTCCCATAAATGGCCTGAACCCAAACCCAAGCCGGAACAGATTAGGCAGCTGGTGGAGAACGTGGAAACCAATCTGGGTCTGCTGGAGTTGCTGTTTCTGGAAAACGACTTTCTGGCAGGGCCACATCTAACAGTGGCTGATATCCTGGGCGCCTCGGAAATCAATCAACTGAGTGGGTTCCTAGCAAATTCTTTATCTTTCAAAATGTATACAATTTCCTTCTTTTCCAGAGATCTGTCTCTATGCTGTTGACGGGCAAAGGTTCCCAAAAGTAACCAAATGGTTGGAGCGGGTGCGAGAGGCAACCAATCCCTTCTACGACGAGTCCTTGAAGTTTATCAATCACAAAGCCAAACAGAATAATGTTTCCAAATTGTAAGAAGCCTTACGTTTGCCTCTTTTATCTGATACATATTTAAATTACAAAACCCTTTTACTTGCTAGCTTGATTTAGTTCCGTTTAGTGTTCATATTTGTACAAAGTTAAAGATTAAAAATTACTACAAATTACTATGTAAAAAGTGTCTACGGTCTAGTCAATGTCAAGTTTCCTGAAGGAGCCTTCGATGCCAAACAGGGATTCAGCATTGACGGGTTGTCCCCGTCTCAGCTTCTCGTTGGTGCCATAGGACACTTCCTCCTCGAAGAAATCCTTGTACGATATGAGCTTCGTTCGCCATGTATTGACCACATCCTGAACGGTACCATTGCTGCCTCCATATTCAGCTGGCAGGCATTCCTTGGGCACGTACTTGTACAAGCTCTCCAGTTTGGAGTGTATGTGGAACTAGGCGGAAACAGAGGAGAGTTCTTGCTAGTTTAATGTTTTGAAATATAGTTAGAGGAGGCTTACCCGCTTTCGGATCTTTTCACTCATTAAACTCTTGGCAATGGACATAAACTTCTCTGCACTGGCGGGCGCGTTGACGAAATGGAAGCCCTTGGGTCTGTAGGGATAGGCCTTGTCGCCGAGAACAGCCAGTTTCTTGACCAGAACCGCATCAAACTGGAACAAGTGACCGGTGCCAATGCCCTTCATGTCAATGATCTCCACAAAGCCGGAGATCATGGCGTTATCATCCTCTCGTATCTGAATTTCACCCAGCATGGTGTTAACCTGAATAACCTCGGCGATAGAGTACTTCTTGGAGTCATATTGGCCATAGCGGGAGATGTGGATGCGAGGACCATCTGGCTCCAAGGCTGTGGCAATCGCAAGAGGCACCTAATATATTTCACAAATTAACAAAAGATAAAAGATATTAAGAGGCTAACTTACCCCGTTTCCAGAATGCTCAGCTGCTTCTCGCCCACAAAACGATTCTTGTAGAGCTCTGGCACTGCTCCTCGCATGGCATAAAAGTTATCCAGCTTGAGCTTGCTCTTCTCCAGACTGTATTTACAGCCTCGCAGGAAGGCGACCAGGAACTGGGCATCCTCTCGCGCCGTCAGATGCGGCTGCTTGGCGATCCACGTGCGAAGGTCTCAATATCCTCATCGATCCTTTCGGGCACCTCGGCTAGCTCATCGTGCGCCTTCTTGGCCAGCTCTGGGCTTAGGCTGCGAATGGTGTTCGACATGGCAACGCTTCTCTCCTTATCACCCAAACCACCTGTTTGCTGCAAAGCATAGGTTTGATTTATTGAAATTTTTCCAGGTGTGATTAGTCAACCCCAATAGTTGCTTTTGGCCCCGTTTCCGCCTAGTTATGACAGTAACTGGTGTCTCTCTCTGGCGATGCGATTAGATAGCACCCACCCATATGGCCATCGCCATCCATCCATTCTTGGTTCGACAGAGTCTTGGGCATGTTTTCTCGATTAGATTAACCATGTTGCTACTTAGGCAGAGATCTAAATCTCTGTGCTGGATTCCCAGCTGGTCACCGTCATAAAATAATGATGAATAATTTAACGGGCCTGCAATCTCCATTCAGAACACTAAAACTTGAAGCAATTTAAAGATATAGGTAACGAGTGGGTTCTTGATTAGATTAACTACCAGGGGATCAGAGGTAAATCACCATAATAAAAAAAATTTAATAACAAACACGAACGATGATAGAATGCTCTTGGATTCCACAAGAACTGACTAATCTTATCACTGGGAGTCACCAAAAGTCTGATACATTGCTTTTCTCAAAAGATTGCTGGCTACTATGCTGCTGCTGCTGCGATAGTCACAGTCTTAAGTGTTAAATAGCAATTAGTTTTGGGGTCTCACGCACTATCTGGTATCAAGAACACATCGCCCTGACGGCCACAAAGATAGGGCTTATCAAACAGGGATCACCAACGTTGGGTTCGGAATTCAAGTGCACGTAAACCAGATAACTGGTTGTCTTGCCCTGGATTCCCGTACATTCGTTGTCGCGACCTCTACTCACAATTGTCTTTAATTTAATATTAGCCGCTCTATATACATATATGCATATAAATTTCTATATATTATATATGTGCTATATGTGCCGCCTCCTCGCGAAAATCGAGTGTTCAACCGCTGGCTTTGACTGTGGGCGCGCGACTGTCACCGCCTCGCCGTGAAATTGCCGATTTTGGGTCTGGTTCTGGGCACCACATGGAGACGGGGGCATGGAGAACGTTGAATTGCTGGATCGGTGTGGACGTCACGGCGCTAGGTGACGCACTGCCTAATGGCAGTCGAACCCAACGGTGAGAGAGTCGAGCCAAGTGAGAGATCTCACTACCGGGTGTTACATTAAATTAACACCTTTTGTGTTGAACGGCGGCTAATGCATGGTTTTTGATAAGATAGATAGACTGTAATCATTACAATACCATTACGATCGGGGGGATCTACATGGCTCTAGATAACACACTCGCTCAAAGATGCCCGACAGGAAGTGTCCATTCGAGTGGCATATTCATATCCCATATGTATCGATAGGAGTAACACGCAACACTTTCACCTAACACGACACCCGGCATTGTTATCAGCGGAGATTTCCTTCCAACTTGTCTATATATGAAGATAACGATATTATCGCAACGAACATGATACATTTGTTTATTTCTGTTATAAGGTTATATTTTTCTATGCCGCCTCATAGGAACTCTGCAAATCGTTCATTTTGCTATCGGTGACGGCTCCCCCCATTTACGATTCATTTTTAGCTCTGTCATCATTCAAATGTGAAAATAAATCAGGGTTACTAGCCCTTCATTATCAGACTTTACTCCTTTTTTGGGGTTCCCAAAGGTGTGGTAGTAATGGTCTTACTCGTTATAAAGGTAAATATAAATAATATCACAGGTGTTCATAAAATCATATCATTACCTCACTTAAAAAACAAGTAAGAAGGTTACAACTGAGTAAGTATACCATTAATAATAAAAACCACTCCACTGTGACGAAAATAATCGTTTTTTATTTATCTGTAAAATGTTGTTTCGATAAAAATGCCCATTAAAAGATGGTTTACAGTTCGTGGTTTATCTTAAGTAAATTTAACTTAAAAAAACGATAGCCAAAAGGTTTTGTTGTTGCTTTTTTGCTGGGTTGTTTTTCTTTCGTGTACAATCGCGCAGAATTTATGATAATATCACATTTACATATACATATATATAAATAATTAGAAGAGTTCGTCAAAAACAAACAAAATAATAAAGAGAGGATGCAAGCGGTTGGAACGCTCACAGCTAGACACGGTTACGTTCGTCAATAAAAAGCAATACTATTACTTATTTATAAGGCAGTAGCGGTCCCGAATTTCAACGTGGAATTTCGGCATATCCTGTATACTTAGAACATATTTATTGCTACATTTATGCAGGCTAATAGTTATGGTATAATCATGTTTTATCTCCTATGCATATATATTATATATTGTTTATAGATCTGGTAAAACAGCCCTGCTATATGTCCAACAGACGCCGCCAGTATGCACAATTGGCAAGTGTCCATTAATAAATCGTTTCATTGGCAGTGGAGAGTTTCCTAAAGTTTTTTTCTAGGATACTCTCCTTTAATGTTGATTTATCTGCCCTTAAAAACTAAGAGAAGGCCGCTTGGTCTCGTCTTGGGGGGCTATTAAGCGCCAGACTGTCACACAGTTGTGCTCTGCTATATAGTTACTAAACAATATTATCAAGGATCTTCTCCTTCATTAAAATCCAAAGCAGATCCTTTCTATTTCTCCTTAATTTATTGATTTAATCGTTATGCAAAATGAGGGATCCAAATGAGGCGAACCATGGGGCTTAAATGATAAGGATTTCTAAGCCTAGACCCTTAATCCGATCTTAACTGCGCCATATGGTCGCCGAGAAAGGGTGAGCAGCAGCAGGGGGAACAGACTGATCCCCTGCTCTCTGGTTGCCGTACTCCGTTCCGATGACTCGTTTTCCCCGGAAACTAATGGCGCTGTCCAACGTTCCTCATCATCCACATCATTGACACTCCGGGCACACTGCATCCACTTGCGGGATGACACCTTTGCCCTGGCATGGGCCACCTTCATGAGGTCATCATTGAATTCCCAGTAGCCCAGGTTCTTGAAGAAATAGTTTGCCATCGCTGTACTGGAAGGCATCATCGATATTGTAGCCCACTCCTGACCAGATGGACATGTCCCGCGGATAGTCTGCTCCACCTGGCCGGTGTAGTCATCGATGCGCCAGTAGAGTGTGCCGCTGGTCAAATATGTCTGATTGTTGTGACCCCAGACGAATGAGGCATCGATGTGGGTCAGAGTGGGAGGCAGTCCCAAGGCGACCAGGGGTTTCGGGTAGCCAGGAGCCAGAGTCACCGAATTGAACACATAATACTGACGACCTGACAGAGAAAGAAATCAATTAAACTTCTAATTGATTCCTCTATATTCTCTAGATGCTTACCTATAAAGAACACTATCTGTCGCTGTTTGTTTTCGTACACTGCATCCACTTTGGTAAAGTTCTCGGGCAGAGCAGCCCAGTGTCTTCTGGTCTCTGTGGGATAGCCGCGATACAGGCCCTCAGATCCGATGCGCCAAAGGAACTGCACGGCAAAGAGTTTTCAGGTTTCAGTAGAGATCTTCTAGGATATATCTTAGCTTTGTACTTACCGGTCCCCGGAAGATGAAAATTCACCTCGATCATGGAAATGGCATCGTAGTAGGTCATGCAGCTATCCGGCTTGGGTTTCCGTGGCTTGTGGTGGCTGCCCTGGTTCCGGTGTCCACCGTTTGGATACGGCCTGCCAGTGGGTCTTGCCGTGGTCGTGGTCGTTAGGCGTTCCCGGCTCCTGTTACGTTCCCGTTCCCATTGCTCTCGCTGCTGCTTAATCTGCCTCTCTCGGTTCTGGCGCTCCCTCTCCCACTCCAGTTGGCGCTGCCTCTCCCGGTGACGTTGGTCCTGCTCCGCTCGCTCCTGCTCAGCCCGCTCCCTTGCCGCTCGCTCCTGCTCTGCACGCTTCCGAGCGGCCAGTTCTCGTTCTCGTTCCCGCTCCCTTTGCCAATCCCTGTTGGGATTCCTGGTGGGCACGGGCTTGTAGCTCAGGGTTCGCATGGTGGTGGTGGTGGTGGTGCTCTGCGTGGGGGTGGCTTGTAGGGCCCCAGGTCTTCTCCTTGACCATACAGCTCCTGGATGCCGTTGCGATCGTCATCGGGCAGCTTGTTGTCCACCTCATTGCTCTGATACCATGGGAACATGACCGCGTTCGAGTCCGAGGAGTGGCCCAGTCCCAGCGAGTGACCCAGTTCGTGCAGGGCCACGTTCAGAAAATTGGTTCCTGCAATGGGAATGACACACGGAATGCAACATAAATACACGCTGACTACGTTAATGGCCGGCAGGCACAATGTGGGGTTAACCTAGGGATGGTGATGGGTGCTGGGTGAGTGTTCTGGTCTCCGACTCCTTGGAGACGTCGTCGCCTTGACGACTTTGTAAGTGGCATAAAAATGGCGACGCTTGCAACATTTTAAAATGGCTGCCAACGTCACGCGTCATGCTGACAATTTTTTATTGGCATTAAAAACCATTAAAAATGCCGAAGCACAGTGCCGGAGGTCTGAGGTCTGGTAGGGGGCTCCTTCTGCGTCCGCTGACGATTTATTGTGCTAAATTACAAAACGCAACCGGCAAAGCGGCATACTGCAGGCGACGCGTCGCCATTTCTTCTCCATCCTGCTCCTACTCCTGCTCCTGATCCTGCTCCAGCTCCTGCTCCTCTTCCAGCTCATCACCCTGGTCGAAAGGCCGCAACGTATGCAGCCTTTATTGATTTTACTCATGTGTGTGGTTTCGGTTTCACACATCCTGGCACTCGTAAAAAAAATGTAGACAATTCGCAAAAAACCCATAAGCTTCATTGGATTTCTTTCTAAAAACTTTATGAAACCTTTTTTTCGACGTTTCAGGACTTTGTTGAACATATTTTTTCATGCATTTCTTTCGAGGCTTTCTTATGTTACTTTTTATGCAATATTGAACAAAGTTATATCTTGTCTGTTTTATTAAAAGTTTATGGATAAAAAAAGTTAGAAAAAATCAATTGCTTTCATAGATTTCTAAATTTTGTACAAATTTTAAGCTCTATAAAATTGAATAGAAAAATGCTTTCAAGAATTTAGCACCTTGAAAAATCGATCTAATAACTCTTATTCATTATTTAAGTACATTATTTGTTAATTTCTTTTTAATAGTTTTTAGTATTGTATACTATTGCAGTATTTTATTTTATACAAGCTTACCATATTTTTTTCTACTTCTTTTAACTTATATAAATGTTTTCAATATTAATATAAACAAGAAAGGAAGTAAACTTTGGGAAGTCCATAATGAATTTAAAATTGATCATAACTTTGCCAAAAATGGATTGAATTCAATTTGGAAAACTGGTTTGTGCTAGTTTTTATACAGTTAAAAATCTGTATACTCAATTTATAATTTTACAAAATTTATTCTTTTCCAATTTTTCACAATTTTAACGATGTAACCCCTTATAAAATTTTCAAAAAATTGACCAAAAATTTTTTTATTTCCAAACATGGCTAGATTGACTCGGCTGTTGATGCTGATCAATAATATATATGATTTATAGGGTCGGAAATGATTCCTTCACTGATTTACAAGCTTCTGAATAAAATAATAATACCCTTCAAGGGTATAATTATTATAAAATATTCTAAATATATGTTATTTTCCTATCAATCAATGATAATACCTCTAAGTATGTCAAGTAAATAATTGTTATTTTTATTACTGTTTAATAGTACTACTTTTCTATACATACAATACTTTTTACGTTCAAGTTTATATAGTTTTTGAAGAGGTTTATTTTTAGGAATTTGTTTAATATTAAAAAGTATTTTAGCACTTATATCAACCAGTTATTTTTACAGTTTTTGTGATAGTCTTTGTTTAATCATTGCTAAAATTTATATGTCTTTATTATAAAGACAGATGCTTAATATTAATAATAAGATAAATAATAAAGGAAGTATATTCCATCTAGCACAGTATAAATATCAAGAAAGTAAAGGAAAAGCCTCACAAACTATTCGCAATAAATGGGTTAATTTAACTATTAAATCTGAATTTAATAAATTTATAACTAAAGTGAAAGGACCCTTAATTTTTTCCGAGTATACCAGCACACAACCCAAAAAATGCCACAGACCAGACTGTGCCGCCGCGGAACAATATTATGGCAATCTAATGCAATTAATTCACGTCATTCGGCGGTGCGCCATGTGCAACTGAGTTGATGAACCGTACTGTACTCACCGCGACTTTCATCCGGATTGTAGTTCCAGGTCTCGTCCGCATCAAAGTGGGCATCGCCGCCGCGCCCTTCGCCCGGATAGAAGGCGTGGGCCAGCACCTGGCCGGGTCCATCGAATTTATAGCCATCGCCGTGCTGGAGCCTGCAAGGAGGTGCAGAGAGGAGAGCAGGGATTACATAGGGGATTATAAAGGAGCCAGAGCCACAGCTCAGTCATATTCACGGCTTATCTTAGAACAAGCAGCTGGTGAGCATAAACTCTTTGATTCGTCGGTGGGGTGTCCACATGTCCATCGACTTTGTCATCCATTGGAGACGGCGGCGGCGGCATTTCATCATCGCCATCGTTGCACGGTTTAATACTTGGCTTATTTATCGTTCTCTCCCCGGGTTTTAAGTGCAATTTTATGTGCCTTTGTTTATGGCCCTAAAGCGCGTCATTTTTTATGATCTCTTTCACCCGGAAAGCTCCTCGCGTTTTACCATCAACACGGAACAGGACATACACAAAATTCAGTGCACAGAAAGAAATATACGACTAAATGGATCTGACAATTAGTGATGGAAAATAGGGAGGTTTATGGATTTTAAAATAATGAATTTAAAAATAATGAAAACTTGAACTCTTTTCCCCATTACAGTTTATTTGTCTGAAGACAAGTGCAGTACATTAGTACTATATATGTTTTAGTTATATTTCACCTTCTAATATGCAAATTCCTTTCTTCCCTTATAACTTACCTTGCAAAGAGTATCTGTATGTCCGCCTGGTCACTGTAAACCTCACGGAACGTGAGCTTGGAGTTGCTTTCCCAAACATTGAGGGCCCTTTGCACCATCATACGGACCTTCGAGGCATCCGGCATCGTCTGGTTGACCAGGCTGCAAAGATATAAGAACAGAAATAAGGATATCAACATGCTAAGATATTCCACTTCCACTTTTGTCTTCCCCCTTGCATAATTTGAACTCCGGCGAAAGTTTCCTATATGCAAGTGTGTAGGCCTTGGTTCCTTCGCTTATCTTGGTATACATATTTTGTTAACCGCTAATATGGTGGCCAGTGCCAGCGAAGACAACACCCTCAACTTTCACTTTGTCATGGTAAAAGTTTACCCCGCTTAAAGACGAAGGCGGGTCCTTGGGCCCCGGACTTTGGTGGTTTTCACTTAGTTTAGTATTTTGTAAATTCTGTGCAAAGTTTGGCAAACACACAGTGTGTCTACAGGTACAGGGACCTCGGGTCAAAACCGCAGCGGGTTTGGATTTTTGGGGACAAAGACAACTCTCCTTGATTTCCGTCAGCAAAGTTTGCACTCCCCGGAAAAGCTGAAACTGAGACCGAGTCGAAGCTGTGTGTGTGTTTGTGTCTCCACATTTTATGCAAATTAGTTATGTTTCTTTTATGGTGGAACCGTCTGCTGTTGTTAACTAACGCAGGATGAAAAAAAAAGAAAAGAAAATAGAGCAGGCCCCGAAAGTTGAGCCTTTTTTTGTGGTTTTACCCAACAGAGGGACCTTGCCTTGCCTTGTCTCTTTTGGCATATGCCTTGTGTCTTTTATCTACCAATTTCCCCTGACTATTTTTCTTTTGCCTGGGCATCCTTTCACCAGGACTCTCTCTCTCTCTGTCTCTGGGGGCGTTGCGTATGGCAGGCTCTTCAATATGCATTGAGGCATTTAACCACTTGCAACCGGGCTGATCGCTTCACTTAAATGGCTTCCGCGTGGTTTTCTTTTTCCTTCTTCCTCCACTAACTGCTTCGTTTCCAATTACTTCTTTCGAGCCATTGAGCCCGGGGCATTGAGATTTATCCATCGATGAGAGATGAACGTTTTCCCAGCTAATAAGTCAAACATTTAGATTAATCTTAGCCTCAAATGAGACTAATTGACTTTTCTTTTGATGGTTCCTTAGTTGAAGTGTTATCCAAAATCCAATCCATGATTTTCCATTTCGAGGGAATCAAAGGACTCAGCACAGTTTAGCTGCCAAGGCACACACACACTCGGCCATAAACGTCCTTGGGGCTCACGTACTGTCAACTACCGCATGTCTCTTGACCTGCCCCCAGGACCTCTTTGACTCTCGATCTTTTTGGTCCTAGAATCACCGTGTCGCAGTTCATTTCCATTGGACTCGACAAAAACGTGCTCAATTGCAACGCCATTTGTTTGCTCGGCCGTTGATCCGTCGGAGGCCCAAGTCTCTGGAATTGGGTTTGGGATTCGAATTCGGATCCCGAAACCTGCAACTGGCGTCTGCCGTTTGTCGTTTGCTATTTGCGCAGAGCTTGTTGCTTACTGCCGTTTGCCAGGGTAAATTAACTCAAGCGACCAGTCTGCCAGTCTCTCTCTGTCTCCAAACCCAATCCTCTTTCGCCGCTCCCAAACAGTCTAATCCCCTCCGGTGTTGGGGCACTCCAATGGCGACCCTTTGTCGTGCTAATTTCGTTGCTGCTGCTGCCTTTGGATTTAAATGCAAACCGCTGCAGTGCATCCGGTCACGTAGCCATTTGCAGTTTGCCAGTGCAGCAGCAGGAGCAGGAGTAGGAGCAGCAGGAGCAGGAGCGGAGGAGCTCTACTAGGAGCATGGAAAGCAGCACCTCCGCTGACGGAGCTTGACCTCTGTTTGTCTTTGCCATGTCACTTTGTGTGCCGAGCATTTAAATTATTATGAACCCGACAGGCTCTCCGCCTCTCCAGTTTTGGGCAGGAGTTCTCCTGCACGGAAAAGCGGAACGTGCACTATGGGGGTAAGGGGAGGGGAAAGGGATGGAAATGGGAAACCCTGGGCTGTCTGGGGAAACGTGTGCTTCGGCCAATTTGTTGCCTTACACGTAAAACAAACTGAACAATTAGCCAAATGGATGGAGCTCCATAGAGAGAGCCCTCCTATATATGGCCTGTGAATAACAAAAGGGGAATCATTTGGCCGACAGTCGAGTCCATTGTTATGGCCAGTTTTTGGTTTCGCTGTGGCCTGTATCCTTTCAGGAGAAATGCTTTCATACCTCGAGTATATTATTTTTGACCCGGTAAAATCTTTCATAGGCTGCACGAATAGAGGATGCCATCTTGATTAAGAGGTATTCAACAGGGAAATTAGGGATACAAAAGATGAACTTGTTTATTTATTGTTACTAAAGATTAATGTACTTAAAGAAACCTTAAATAGGACATGAAAAGAAGGATGCACATCATGGTATAATCCTTATATATCAATTATTTCCCAATTTCTAGGAAATCCCTTCTGAACCTTAAATATATATCCTTTCCCAAACACATGAGCTTCTTGCTGTCAGTTTTGGATCGTGTTCAATCACATTTGGTGGCATGTCGCCCATTACGCCAACCTGTGACAACCAGAGTCGGCCAGGTAAGGCCGCAATCTATCAGCCAGGACACACTCATCACATGCGAATTTTTGATTAAAATTGCACCAGGATGGGACATCTCGTTTACCTGTTATATCCTCGACCTGCGCCTGTCTCTGTCAATGGCAATTGATTGAATTGAGCACATCGAGCCATGAAATGTTTGTCCGCAGGCCAACAACTAAATCACCGGCGGCAGTTTTGGCTAGAAGGAGCTTTGCATGCTCAATGCTCCTTCGGCGGAGTCGTCACCAAGTCATGGCCACAACTGGAGGAAGCAGGACTAGGAGTAGGAGCAGGAGGAGGAGCAGGCTAAGGAGGCCGTTCAGGTGGCGGGAGCATGGCCGGAATGAAGATGCCGTCGTAATGGAAAACGCCGAAGGCTCAGACGCGGGGACAACGCCAAGTGAAGTGAAGTGGCATTGAATTTTGCAATTTCTTCTCAATCGCATAGATTTTTCTTCCACACATACATAGATAGATAGAGAGAGAGACAATTTCGTGCACATTTTACTCGAGTTTTCCTGCCATCAACTTCCGCCGAAAGTTTTCCCAGCAAGCGCGGCATTTTCGCTGTATTTTCCTTGCTTTTTTTGTTGTTGTTAGATTTCTCCTTTTGTTGTCAGACAGCTATCGAAAAAGTTTCGCCATGTTTGTGCCGCTGCTGCTGGTGCAGCTAACGAAATGAGTTTATTTTTTGCTTAATTTCGCACAAATTAAAACCGTCGCCGAGTAAAAAATGTTCTCATTCGGCAATTTTTCCTTGTCGTCGCAGGGAAAACTTTGCCCAAGCTGGAACACTCACATCCATCTATGTATGTATACGTTTTACGTATATGTTATAAGCCATGGCCATAAAGTATCTAATGTACGGAGGAGAGAGTAGATTTTGAGTCAATAACATAAGTCGTGTGTTTGCCAGCGTTTTCATAAATATCAAGGGGGCTCAGCTGGACGCAGCTCGACACTTTGCTGCTGGAAAAGTACTGCCAGCCAGCTAGAGAGAATTTTCCCTCGGTTTTCCCGCAGTGAAAAGTGTGGGACTAAACTGTCTCATAAATGTCAGGCTCAAGTTTGTTTACTTCGGATTTACAGCCAAAGACCTGAAGAGAGAGAGCCACTGGATTGGAGTTCATTTAATGCTTGTCCAGAGGCCCAGTTATCTCACTTTAAACAAGATCTTACACTAAAAAGAACATTTCTATGAAATAAACTAAATTGATGTCAAGTAATGATATAATATTAATAATATAACAAGATATTTAGGTAATAATTAGTACCTTGTGGAGTCTTATACTTTCAGTCAGTGATCTGCAAAATAGTGAAGGAGTCATTTCGACCCTATAAATCATATATATTCCTGATCAGCATTAGCAGGGAAATTTTCTAGATATTTTTAGCAAGAACAAAAATTTACTCGATTTTTTCAAAAAATTGAATCGTTAAAACTTTCAAAACCAAAATTTTAATTTTACAAAAAGTATGCACATTTTTTAACCTACTAAAAACTAACACAAAACAGCTTTCTGAATTAAAATTAATGCTTTTTTGACTGAGTTATGGTTATTTAAAATTTGATTTTTCAAAAATTTGTCATAGAAAAATATTTAAATTGTCTTGAGTCTTAAAGGTCGGATATTTCAATTCTTCATATAAATTTTAAACTATTTCGATCTATCTTCTTTATCTTACTATCTTATCCAAGCAATAGTTTTGATATATAAATTATAATTAGTTATTTTAGCGTTGACTTTCTCTAATTTAAGCAATATTGTAGGAAAAAGAGACAAAAAGTAAGGTAAATTTCGATAATACTTTATATATTTCTTTACGATTTTGTTCATAATATTGAACTTTATATTTATTGAACTTTGTAATATTATCCTACCTTATATCTACTTTTCAAACCAATATACACACAGTCTTTATTTTTTTCCTGTGCGGCCGTAAAGCTTTTCCTGTGGCCTTAAAGGATAAGTGTTTTCCGCTCAAGTGAGCTCAGATTTCGTGGGTCACTTTGCCTTAACACACGTCTCTCACCTGGTTCACCTGATTTTGGGTTGAACGAAAATCCGAACCGAAAAGCCAGCCCCGCCTCTCGTCATAAGCCTCCCGGCGGCCCATCGACAAACATAATTACGCTTAACCGTCTGCTCAACATTAAAAATGTAAGCCTTTGCGTGCGTGTGTGTTTTGGGTTGCAAAAAGGGTTTGACGCAGGACCAAGGACGAAGGACGCAGGAGGAAGTGGGAAAACTCAATAAAATAGCTTAAAAGCAGGACAAACCCCTGGCTAAAGTCTTAAAATAATAGCCGCACAGAATGTCCGGCAGGATTTTACGATATATGGTAGCCATCGTCCTGCCTTTTTTGGCCAAAAAGCCACAAAAACCGACACGGACAGGAGGGGATAAACAAATGACTTTGCATCTTATGTGTGTGTGTGTGTATGTGTTGTCATAACAAATTTAATTAATAAATAATCGCAATTTAGCCACAAGAGTA